TCCTCCATAAGTGTCAATAAATCAGATTTCTCTTTTGAGAATCCTTTGTACTTGAGGGCTTTCTTTTACCATGAATTATGTCAGTATTGAGAGACTGTTTATACCTAAGCTATGAAACTTTTTGAGTTACTAGGAAAACATTTTAAGTGTGATCTTTTAATTTTCTTCTGCAGAGTTCTTATTCTCTGACATGGAAGAATATCCTGAAAAAGATAAAGGAATCAAAGCACTTACATAATATCAGCTCACCTTCAGAGGAATGTTCCCATTTTAGTTTCTCAATGTATTTTTATAAGATATGTAAATAGGTATTTGTAGATGAGTTTTAAATTATATAATACTGAAAAGTTTTTCAAAATTGTGGAAATGTTTAAATTGTTTCATTTGTGCTCACATATTAGTTTCTATAGCATAAACTTAATGATAAAAGAAATGAATTAAAAGCAGATGAAAATATTTTATTTCCTGTTCTCCTCAACTAGCTGTACTTATAATCATTTAAAAAATCTTTATTCAGAAAAAGCTATTAACTTTAGCATTACAAAGTGCATATCAAGGGCTGGGAAGGTGGCTCAGTGGTACAGTGCTTCCCTTGCATGCATGAGGCCCTGGGTTTGATTCCTCAGCACCACATAAGCAGAAAAAGCTGGAAGTGGTGCTATGGCTCAAGTGGTAGAGTGCCAGCTTTGAGCTGAAGAGCTCAGGGACAGCACCAAGGCCCGGAGTTTAGGCCCCACAATCTACAAAAAAATAAAAAAAATAAAGTACATATCAAGTTTAAATATAAATTTAAGGAGAATGATAGACGCTAAAAAGAAATCATTTATTTTTGATATCTTCTTATTGAACAAATTGAAATATTAAATTTTCTTACATGGGGGGGGCAGGGGGAGGATGGGAAGGGATGGGAAGGGGGAAAAAAGGAGGAGGCTACAATGCTTGATAAGAAATGTACTCATTATCTTGCCCATGTAATTGTAACCCCTCTGTACAGTATTTTCACAATAAAAAAAATGTAAAAAAAAAAAAAAAATTTTCTTACATGAATGTGGCTTTGTGTTTATGTATCATGTAATAATTATAATGTAATTTGGTTTGAAAGGTGCTTTATTCTTTGGCTAATAAAACTGAAATACATGTTTTATTTGAAATGCTTTAGTGTAGATTTTGTTTCCCTTTAAACTCTATACCAGTGGTTCCCACATTTGACTTCACATCAGAATGATTCAGGGAGCTTTAAAAAACATACTTAGCAGGAGTAGTGGAACAGTCAAGCTTGTTGACCTAACATTTCTTTTTTTATTGTATTATTTTAAATTTAATTTTCTTGTAAAGATGCTCTACAGAGAGGTTACAGTTACATCAGTAAGGTAACGGGTACATTGTGTATCCTCCTTTGTTTTCCTTGCACTATCCCTTCCCTCCCCTACCTCCTCCCCCCCTACAAAGTTGTAAGGTTCATTTCCAACATAGTGTCTTGTATCATTGTTGCAATGTGTCATCCTATGTCCTTGATTCAGCATTTTGTTATTCCCCGTCCTCTCCCCAAATTAGATAAATGTATATACAAGATGCAAGGTACCAAAATCAAATACAGTGACAACAGGAATAGACCATAGGAGGAAGAACATACAAAAGAAACAAAGAAAAAAAATCACATTGTACATTAATAACAACAAAAACAGAAAAACCTCTTGTGTGTCTATACCTTGGGGTTTATTTTGCTTAGCATCATCTTATATGGTCATATGTACATAGCTTTTGAGCTTTTTATACTCATCTGATAAGATTATCCTAGACATATACTAGTTATTGCAAATAAAAGAAACCATGGGACCTATATTTCTTTGGGTCTGACTTACTTAATATGATTTTTTCCAAGTCTTTCCATTTCCTGACAAATAGGGACCTAACATTTCTGTCTGATCTCTGCAGTATTCTTTTGGTTTCCTTTTTCTTTTCCTTTTATTTCTTTTTTTAATGAGGGCAGGCATTGCTGGGAATGAAACCTAGGGTCTCATGAATGGTAGGCAATTGCTGTACCCTTGAACCATATCTGTAGTCCTGATTAGAAATTCGCCATCCCTATTCTAAAGCTCTTGGTCAGAGATGTTTGGCTTCCCAGAAGATCCCATTCATGCGATGGATCCTTTGTGGGAAAAGATGTCTTCCCTGCTGCATCCAGTGTTTCCTCAGCTGTTGCTGTGAGATCCTACAGCTCAAAACAGTTTTAAGGCTTGCTGTAGAGGAAGTGTCTCAGGGTGCTGAGCATTTGAATAAAACTATTAGGCCCACTCTGATTTGCAAGAAATCATATGTTGTGAAACAGAAGACTGACTAATTGATGGTAGAGATGAATGTCTGAGAATTATACTATATTTGCCAAAAGCACCATATTAGAAATATATCTTGCTGTTTTCAAGACTGGAACTTCACTGTGAAAACATTGGCAATTCTGATGTCATCCTGCCAGTTCTGCCTTTAACTATCATCAGTAATGGTTCCCATGCTGGCAATGAGCTGGCAGTGTAGAAGTTCATGATCTTCTCTGACAGCTAACTACAGAGAAGCCATGCTCATTCTACAGCCAACAGTTATCACACCCGAGGTGTCATCAAGGAGAAATTTGGGAAAGCTGTAAGTATGGAAGCTTGTGGTGGGCTAAATAATGTCTCCTAAAGATGTCCATGTCCAAATCCCTGAAGCCTACAAATGCATTACTTTACACTGAAAAAGACAATTGGCAGTTATGGTTGAGAGTATGAACCTTGAATTAAGAGTATCTTATGTTATCCAGGTGACCAGTCTTATGATTCCTTAAAAACAGAACTTTTCATGCCTTTTGTCAAACAGAAGCTATGTTAGAGAGTTAAGATGTTGCTGGCTTTGAAGATGGAGGAGGATTCTGGGTGCAGTGCCCATGAGTAAAATCTCAGCCACTCAAGAGGCTGAAATTGAGAAGATCATGGTCCAAGGTCACCCTAGGCAGAAGTTATCAAAACCCCATGTCAACCAACAGCTGGGAAAAATGCTCAGGAGTACAACTGATGGGTTATGTGATAGTTACAAATTTAGTTGTTGTTGTTAGTTTGTTTTTTTTTTTAGTTTTCTAGACTTGGCTGCATTTTCTATATCTAACAACAGCTTTTTTTCCCTTTTTTGTTCTCTCTCTCTCTCTCTCTCTCTCTATATATATATATATATACACACACATATATATAATTGTAAAGATACTGTACAGAGGGGTTACAGTTACTTGAGCAAGGTAATGAGTCCATTTCCTATCCAGCATTGTTACCCCCTCCTTTATTTTTCCCCTACCATCCCTTTCCTCCCCACCTCTCCAACTTCTCCCTCCCCTCTCGTCCCAGCAAAGTTGTAAAGTTCATTTTCAACATACTGTCTTGTACATCTCATCCACAACAGCTTTTTTTTTTAGTCCCAAGCAAAGGCTGGGAATGTGGCTTAGTGGTAGAGTGCTTGCCTAGCATGTAAAAGTCCTAGGTTCAATTCCTCAGTACCACACAAACAGAAAAAGCCAGAAGTGGTGCTGTGACACAAGTGGCAGAGTGATGCCTTGGGCAAAAGAAGCTCAGGGACAGTGCCCAGGCCCTGAGTTCAAGCCCCAGGGCTGGCAAAAATAAATAAATAAAATCCCACGTGAGTTTTTTTAAAGTGTGATTTGTTTCTCAGTCACAATTTCTACAGATTGGACTTTAGATTTAGGGTTTGATTAAATTTTAATTTAATCTGATTAAAATATTTAAAACTATTATTATATGCTGCTATGCACTTTGTTGCATATCCTGAGTCCTAAAGAAGTCAAAATGAGCTGGTTGACAGCAAGTTTCAATGGCACAGTGATTAAATACCATGCAGCATAGTCCCCAGATGACAACGGTTTTAAGCGCCTTGGGATAGAACCTTGTCTCCAAAGAACTCTGTCTTTTGAATTTAGCAACTAATAATGTGGCCCCACCATAGGGCTCTGTCAAGGATAGGGTGGAGACAGCGGTTTATTCCACCATTGGAGTATTGATACTGGACATGTGTATGTTACAAGACATAATTGAAAACTGACGTTGAGCCTCTTTGAATAACCAAAGACTAAATAATCAAAGCTAGCAATAAGTAATGACTCTGAAGTAAGAAAATGCATTGGAGTCTGCTGGCTCCCATATTAAGAAATTAAATGTTGTGGCCTATAGAGTTCTGAAAGTTTCTGGTTTTGCTTTGTGTATTGTGGAAAAATTGTATTAATACCAGGACAAAGTACAGGACTCATGAGACAGGAGGCTGGGGGACCCTCAGGTAAACCATTGCAATCTTCTATCTGCCTATCACCCCTAACTAAGTGCTGTAAGGGGAAAAGAATGACTAGGACTCAGAGATTAGGGTTGGAATTTTAAGACATATCAGAATTTCTGTGATTTTCGTGGATGTGACCTTGCATAAATGAATTTGGAACATACTTGAGATTCAGGAGGGAAGATGTCTTAGGTGGACGTCAGGTAAAGATATCCAAGGAGACTATTGAAGGTGTCACACGTGGAAGCAGAGCATACAGGAAGTGGAACTCAGCGTGCTGCAGTGAGAGGAGGGCTTGGATTCTCAGTCCGAGGAGGCCTCCCCTGCAGAGATGACGGTGTGCAGGGCGTGCGTGCGTGCGTGTGTGCGTGCGCGCGCGTGCATGTGTGCGCGCCTGCACCTACGCGCAAGGACGTGGGTGGCTGCACGTGCCCAAGAAAGCTCGGGAAAAATCGCGAGAAAACCTACAACGAGCATGGTGCCTGCGTAGTGAAGCAGGCCTTCCGTTGGTTAGACCCAGACAGGCCCCACTGAGAAGACAGGGATGGAGCTGCCCGAAGACACCCAAAAGCTTTCTATGAAAAATGATATGCACAGAGAGCGGGTCCATTCCCTGTTTACATCTTCTGCTCTACATAAGGGTGCCTTTACCAACCCAGATAACACACCTGGCAAAGGATCAGAGTTTCCTTCTGCCTATAATACACAGGCCCAAGGCAAGAAATTACCGCCCAAGGAGAAGGAGAGCGCAGGGAACCGGCTGCTGAACGTGAGTGGGCTTACAGATCTGGGGAGCCCCAGAGCCGGGAAGGCCTTGGATGATGGGCCCGTGCGCACGGAGGAGACTTCCCCAGCTGGAGCTGGAAATGACAAAGGAGAGCTTACCTGTGTGGTTGGGACAGTTAAGACTAAAATTCGTTTTTACCTTATTTAAGGAAACAAATAGGACGGTGATATCATGCAGCTTAGCACAGTGTAAAGAACAGAGTCTTAAACGTTATCTACTCCAAAAAATTCACTGTGAAAAGCTAAGCTACACCTTAATCTTTTCGCTCAAGGCTATTGCTCTACCACTTGAGTCACAGATCTACTTTTTGCTGGTTAATTTCCTGCCTGGACTGGCCTCGAACTGCCGCCCTTAGATCTCAGCCTCCTGAATGAACAGCTAGGATTTCAGATGTGAGCCACCTGATCCTTGGCACTAAAGTTCTTAAATAATGAACCTGAAGTGTAAATTCTGCAAAGTAAATTATTGACCTCCTGTTATTCCTGAGTTCAAAATATGTAGTGCTACCACTAGAACAAGGGAGACTGAAATGGCAAAAAAAAGAATCAACTCGGGGCTGGGAAGATGGCTCAGTGGTAGAACACTTGCCTTGCATGCATGAGGCCCTGGGTTCGATTCCTCAGCACCACATAAGCAGGAAAAAAAAGTCAGAAGTGGCGCTGTGGCTCAAGTGGTAGAGTGCTAGCCTTGAGGGACAGCACCCAGGCCCAGAGTTCAGTCTCACTACCGGACACCCTACCTCCCCCCCAAAAAAAATAATCAACTCAATGCACTTAAAAAAGAAACCTTTTTTTAACATGTGCATTACAGAAAATATATATAAGCAAAGTGCAAAATATTACTGCCACAAGCAGTTCAGTTAGACATGGCTGTCTAGATCCTCCATGTACACATACCAATCCCTTTTTAAAATGTCATTAGATGATTATAAGGAATTTTTATATCTTGGTCTTTTTTATAAAGCAATTTTCAAGTTTCTTTGTTCCATTTTCCACCTATCTTAGTTTGAAAAGTTTTATTATAAAGGTGATGTACAGGGGATCACAGTCACATAAATCAAGTAGAGTACATTTCTTTTTGGACCATGTTACCCCTTCCCTTGCTTTCTCCTATTTTTTCCCTCCAATCCCCACCCACAAGTTGTATAGTTCATTTTCAACATAGTATCAAGTGAGTATCCCTGCTGCATTTGTTCACCCTTTGTGGTCTTAATTTTTTAAGAAAATAGTGTGGACAAAACTATTGATGGAGAGGCTGGGAAGGTGGCTCAGTGGTAGAGCGCTTGCCTTGCATGCATGAGCCCTGGGTTCGATTCCTCAGCACCACATAAGCAAAAAAGAAAAAAGCCGGAAGTGGCTCTGTGGCTCAAGTGGTAAAGCACTAGCCTTGAGCTGAAGAGCTGAGGGACAGCGCCCAGGCCCAGAGTTCAGGCCCGATGACCGGACCCCCCCCCTGCCCCCCAAAAACATTGATGAAGAAAAATGGTATACAAAAAGATTAGTTGTAAAACCTAGCCTAAAAATTAAAGAACTCAATTACTTAATGTGTAAGATATACCCCATTCCAAAATTGTATAAGACTGTAAGCATTGTTATGATACTTTGAGAGCAAATTAGAGGTTAGCTGTAAGATAATACTAAGATAAAATGCCATGGTTTGTAAGAAAGATGTGCTAGGAAATCTAGGCTGAGTGTTTGCTGTGTCTCATCTTAAGGAATGTACACTTTATTCTTTAGCATGGTGATTTCCAATGTTGTTTTGGTATGAGGATCCCTGTCTAATGTACAAAAGAAATTTCTCCATATAAAAATAGTTGGGTATTTATTATTCATTGATTGGGAAAATACAAACTCAATCACAAAAAGGAGCCAAGTAAGCATGGCACTAATGGAACATACTCCAGCCCAGTGTTTCTTTTAATTTTTGGAACATTTTTATCCACATTCAAATCTTCTGGAACACTAGATAAATCAGATTTTGAAGCCGTCTCCATGGAATTGGAAAGATGGGTTCCATGGGAATGTTGCTCAGATTCAGTTTTAAGTAATTAAATAGTTTGATTCACTTGAATCTTTGAGGTTCATGCTTAAGAATCACTGTGGAGGCCTGGGAAGGTGGCTCAGTGGTAGAGTGATTGCCTTGTATGCATGAGGCCCTGGGTTCAATTCCTCAATACCAGATAAACAGAAAAAGCTGGAAGTGGTGCTGTGGCTCAAGTAGTAGAGCACTAATCTTGAGCTGAAGAGCTGAGAGACAGTGCCTGAGCCCAGAGTTCAGGCCCCACGACCGACCGAAAAAAAGAATCACTGTAGACAAAGTGGGAGAAAGACATGGTCTCTCAGTTTAAGCACTCTCTCTAACTAATCCTTCAAATCATCTTAGTAATCTACATTTTATTTTAAAAAAATAACCTAGAATATCTTTTGAGACCTCTAGTCACTTACCCTTCCTATTGCTTTCACCTGATTTGCCCGATGTTTCTGGCATCAGCTGCTTTTCATTCCTACATCCTCAATCTACAGCCCTTACGATGTCTTTTCCCCCATTTGTCTACAATGATTCTTAAGCATGAACCTCAAAGATTCAAGTGAATCAAACTATTTAATTACTTTGGTTAAGGGATCAAGAGAAGTTTCGGAAAAGGTAGCTTTTAAGCAAAGCTTTGAAGAATAAGAGAATGACCATTTAAAGGGTTGTGGTAGAGCATTAAGCTGGAATAAGCCTAGTATGAAGTTCCTGCAAAAGAAAAAAAATGAAATGTACAGGAAACAGTGAATGCAAGGGAACATGACATAAGATAAGGCTATACTGGTGTGTGTGTATATATACATATTTATATACATATATACATATATATACAGAGAGAGAGAGAGAGAGAGGTTTTGGTTTTTCTGGCCCTAGGACTTGAATTCATGGCCTAGGCACTCTTAGATTTTTATTTATTTATTTTTGCTTAGGGATAGTACTGTACGAGTTAAGCCACAGCTCCACTTTTGGTCTTTGGGTGGTTAATTGGAAATAAGAGTTTTGAACCATATTTCTCAACTCTCGGCTTCCAGAGGAGCTAGGATTCCAGTCAAATTGGTCTTCTCGAAGGCAAGAGCACTTCATGATGAAATCAGCCTGGTGCCAGGCATATAGTTATGTTAACATATTAGTAAATATTAAATAATTAATGTAAGAATAATGAAAATTCAGTAGAATTACTACATGAAAAGGTAAATATGTGGTAGCAGGTTTTCAAAGAGAAATGTTGAATGGAGAGGAATGTATCAAAGAGTCAGTGAGGAAGGCAGTGCGGGCAAAGTGAGACGTACAGACTTTTCACTGGCTACAAGGTATTTTGAGTTGAGGCCAACTGTGCAGAGATGAAAGACAAGTGGACTTAAGTGGAACCTGAATCCTCTGCAGGTTCAGGAGAAATTCTAGATAATGTGTCAGATGCTGTAGATGAGACATGTTTAGAACCTTTGCTCAAGATTCTTCTGGGACTTTGGCAAAGAGATCTTGCTGATATTGTTGCCATTACAAAGAGCTGTACTCAAACAAGGAAGGAAACATACAGGGGAGGTAATGTGGGGCTGAGGGAAAAGGGCAAGTACCATGTAGGCCATGACAGGATACATTGAGCATGAGTGGTCTAAGGTAGGTTTAAAAATGTCTAAATTATATTGTAATGCTCATTCAGAACAGCCTTCCAAGATAAACGTTATCAAAATATTAGCAAGTACAAGATTGTGTCCTCAGAATATGTATCTAGACACACGGGATGGGCCTCATGTTTCTCTGCTACACAGATGCTCTTTTTTTTTTTTTGGTCATGGGTCTTGAACTCTGGGCCTGGGCACTGTCCCTCAGCTCTTCAGCTTAAGGCTAGCGCTCTACCACTTAAGACACGCTACTACTTGAGCCACAGTGCCACTTCTGGTTTTCTCCCGGACTTTCCTGCCCAGGTTGGCTTTGAACTGTGATCCTTAGATCTCAGCCTCCTGAGTAGCTAGGATTACAGGCACCAGCCCCATGCACCCGGCTCACAGATGCTCATTCTATGGGGAAATACTTTAAGACTATATCAATGCTGTTGTCCCCACAAGCTTTTCCCTCTCCATTTAGTGTTGGTGAATCCCCCACCAACAGTTTTTTTATTATGCTAGTAGAATATCATTTTTTGAACTCCATTATTCCTTCTGCTTTTACGGTGTGACATTGTGCTAAAAGGAAGAATTTTTTCAGATAAGTAGAGTCTTGTGAATTCAATGGGTTCTAATATACTTACTTTTATCATTTATTTTGATATCCAAACTATGCCAGGCATTGTCAGTGGGCACCCCTTTATGATGACTTTTATGAATTTGGACAATATTTTGAGCATCTTTAAAAGATGTTCTTTGTTACCCAAGGCCTCATGCATGCAAAGCAAGCACTCTGCCACTGAGCCACCTTCCCAGGCCCTCATAAACTGTTTTGTAGAATGGGAACTTCCTTGTACAACCACTTAAAGATAATAAAAACATTTTAAAAAGTAAATTTAAAAATAGATGTTCATTGCTCATTTATATGTACCCTTTTCCAGTTTGGGTACTACAGTATGTTTCCCAAAGGCCCATATGTTAAAAGCTTGTGTCACCAGCCTGGGAGAGATGTTAGAACCTTTACAACAACATAAGGCCTAGCAGAACAGTTAAGTCATTTGGGGCATTCCCTTAAAGGGGATATTGGACTCTGGCTTGTTCCTCTCTTTTTGCTTCTTTCCCATGAGTTGAACCATCTTTTCCCATTATCTCCTTCCATCACATTGTGTTGTGCTACTATAAACCCAAAACAACCAGCCCAATGGACTGTGGATGGAAGCTTCTGGAACTGTGAGCCAAAACAAACCTTTCCTCTTTTCATGATTCATGATTCATGACTGATTTTGATGTGTACATTTTTGTTTCCATGTTTACTTGTTGATAAAGTTCTTGAAGATGCGGTAAGTCTCTTATTCTATTTATACCCCACTGCCTAGAGTATCTGATACTTACTAGATAATAATTTAATATTGGAGTTAATCTTTTATCTAATTTTATTCCTCTTTTTTTTCTAAAGGGTTAACTTAGTCTATTTGTATTGTAGATGCTGAGACAAACTTTTCATGGGTCTGACAGTGAAGAACAAGTGGTAGCACGTGAAACACGAACTCTGGTGCCATTTGGGGATGTGGTATGTGTGACTAGCAATCAGTAAACTCAGAATTGTTTTTTATTAGATATGAAATGTTGTTTATATTTATTATATGGTAATTGAAAAGGATGTGCAGGAAATGGTTCTCTCTGAGAACATATTCATGCAATTTACTGATTCATATAAACATGATAATCACTGATACTGTGGAAAACATACATACATAATGTTTTATATTAGGATTTCCAAATCCAATTACATGTAAATCACCCAGATGCTTCTTTTGTAAGACATTGACTTTGGATACTACCTAAGATTTAATTTGGAATGTTCGTTTTGTTGTGTGTGTGTGGAGGGGGGTCCTAGGGCTTGAACTCAAGGCGTGGGTGCTGTCTTTAATCTCTTTTACTCAGGGCTAGTGTTCGACCACTTAAGCCATAGCTCCACTTCCTTTTGGTGGTAAGCTGAAGATAACAGCCTTACAGACTTTCCTGTCTAGGCTGCCTTCAGACCTTGATCCTGAGATCTCAGCCTCCTTATCAGTTAGTATTACATGGCTTGAATGTTTTGAAAAAGAGACCTAGACAGTGACCTCTTCAAATGATTATATTTATTGTTAGATTGATTTTCAGCTTGAAAATTAATCTCACATTGCTCCCACACCTAGACCATCCACAGAAACAAAAGTAAACATAGTTATTTTATACACACACACACATACACACACACACACACACAGAGGACATAATATCTAGACTAAAAATCAGAAAAGTCTGTTATTCTATTTTTTTGGTGCCTCAGAATATAAGACATGAGTATCTGTGTGCTTTTTGAACTATCATGAGATCCTTTTACAGTGAACTTTGCCTATCTTTATTCTTTTGTACCACTATTAGAGCAGTGCAGTGACTGAGAATAACATAAGAATCAATTTAAAAAATCAACCTTTCTCCTCTCCTTTCCTTTCTTCCTTCCTTCCTTGCTTGCTTCCTTCTTTCCTTCCTTGCTTGCTTGCTTGCTTCCTTCCTTCCTTCCTTCTTTTCTTCCTTCCTTCCTTTGTAGGTGTTTGAACTCAGCGCTCCATGTTTGCTAGACAGCTACATGAGCCATACTTTTAGTCCTAAGAATTTTACTTGTTTCTCTTTTCTCACACTTTTATTAGTATCAGTTATTTGTATAAGATTTCTTTTTGACATGTCCATATCTAATACTGTGTACCCTCCTGGTTTACATCTTGTAACCATTTCCCCCAAAAGACCTAATATCATTCTTTTTATGAATGAATAATAATTCATTGTGTCTAATGACACATTTTTTGATCCATTCATACATTATTAGGCATCTGGACTTGGCTATTGTAAATATTACTGTAAAGAACATGGGTGTGCAAGTATGTTCTGACTTATAATCCTTCATATACACATAAAAGTGCAGTTGTATTTAGTTATTGAGAACCTATAGTGGTTATACTAGCCTACATTTCCACCAACAGTGTATAAGAGTTCCATTTTCCCTGAGTCCTCACCAGCATTTGTTGTTCGTGTTCTTTATTATTACTAAGTGAGATGAAATTGCAATGTTGTTTTGATTTCCATTTCCTTTGGATGTTGTATATTTCTTGATACATTTATTGATTATTTGTACTTTTTCTTTCATTTATTAATTGGATTGTGGATTCCTTCAGAGTAACTCTTTTGAGCTCCTTGTAGATTGTAAATTATTACTTTTTAATTTAATTAATTATAATTATTTTTCTAAATTATTCATTATTAATTTTTATTATATGTATAACCAGTACTTTTTCCCCATTCTGTGGGTTGTCTCTTTAGCATAGTGATTATTTCCTTTGCTGTGTAGGTGCTGTTGATTGTTAATTCATTTGTTAATGCTTGCTCTTATGTTGTTCTGCTCAGATAGTTATTGCCTATGTCAAAAAATTCTAGTGTTTTCCCTATTCTTATAGGGAAGACATTATAGTAGTTTCAAAGTTTTAAGTCTCACATTAAGATCCTTGATACACTTCAAATTGATATTAGTTCGGGATGAGAGATAGTTTTGGTCTTCTGTATGTGAATATTTGTTTTTTCCACCACCAATTATTGAAGAAGCTATTTTTTCTCCAAGTATATTTAGCTCTGTTGTTAAAAATCAGATGGCTGCAGTTGTATAGATTTATCTCTGGGTCCTCTATATTCGATTCCAGCAGTCTACATGTCTGCTTTTAACAACCAGTACCATGTTGGGTTGGGTATTATTGTTGTTTCTGTGCTTTGCAGTATAATTTGAATTCTGGAATTGTGAAACCTCCAGCGTTGCTTCTTTTACTTAGAATTGCTTTGGCTATTTAGGACATATTGTGCTTCTGTATATATTTTAGAATTTTTTTTCTATTTCTGTAAAGAATTACATTGAGATTTTGATAGGGATTTTAGTGACCCTGTAGATCATTTATAGTAGCACAGACATTTTTTATGATACTAATTCTGCCAATCCATGAGCATGAGTCTGCAGAGGTGTTTTTACCTTTGGAGAAGTCTATTCCTAGGAACTTCATTGTTTTTAGGCAATGGTGAATGGAATTGTTTTCCTGATTTTTCAACATCTTTTATTATTGTTGTACAGAAAAGCTACTGATTTTTGTATGTTAATTTTATATCTTACGATCTTGCTAACGTTTAGGATACTGATATATCATTTCTAAGATCATAGTGTCTAAAAATGGGATAATTTGACTTCTTTCTTCTCCACTTGAATCTTTCTTATTGTTTTTCTCTTTTATTGCTCTGACTAGGAATTCTATATTATATTGAATACGAATAGACAAAATGGACAATATTATTCCTTACTCAAGGAAATGATTTCAGTATTTTCCTGTTTAATATGATGTTGGCTATAAGTTTGTCATATACAGTCTTCATCATGTTGAGGCACATTCATTTTATTCTTAGTTTCTTCAGAGCTTTTACGATGAAAGATACAGAATTTTGTCAAAGGCTTTTTTTTGCATTTATCGAAATGATTATATGATCCTTTAATTCTATTTATGTGCTGTGATATATACATATATGTACATATATATATACATATATACATATATATATATATATATATATATATATATGTTGAATCAACCTCATATGCCTGGAATGAAACCAATTTGGTTAAGGTGTACAATCTTTTTGATTCATTGTTTAATTTGGATTGTAAGTATTTACTGATTTTTTTGCATCTATGTTCATTAGAATGATTGCCAAAGGAAAGGATTTTGAGTTTCTCCTTGCTGATTTTGAACAATGATTCTGAATAGTTGTCTTTCTTTATCCATGCATTTAGTGAGCTCTCTTGTTAACCTGGGTGGTGAGGAAGCATAAACATGTGATGTATGTTTGCTAGGTTCTTGCTGTGTACTAACTGTCAGAGCTACAATTATATATACTTGCAATATCCTACAGACTGTATCTGTGCCTTACTTAGTCATGGTTTTCAGGACAGGAATAAAGTGTATGTTAGCCTCGTGGAACTGATGAGACCTTTAATTCTCCATAACAGACACCACAAAGACATTTAAAGGCTTTTAATTGATGTGTTGGGCAGGGTAAAGAGTGTGTAGCAATCCATAAAGAAGGCATTTCTAACTGAAATCTGTTGTTTAATGAGATGATTTTGCTGTAGAGACATTGAGGGTGGCTTGGTACATAGAGAGACTTGTAAGCCTTTCCTCCCCACCCCCCACGTGCCATTGGGAAACAGAGTAGCTCAGCCTTGGGAAATATAATGAGGATGTGTGTCTCTGTGTGTCCCTGTCTGGTTTGGGTGTGAATGTAGTACTGGCTTCATAGAATGAGTTTGGTAATGTTCCTTCCCTCTCTATTTTATGGAAAGCTTGAAGATTATCAGTGTTGGTCTTCTTTAAAGGTCCAATGGTAGAATCCAACAGTCTTTGGTTGTTGTTTGTTTGTTTGGTCTGGGTCTTTTGTTTGTTGGGGACTTATAACTGCTTTAATCTCATTGCTTGTTTCAGATATTTTTGTGTAGTTTGTATCATTTTTGATTCAATTTTGGTAGATCAAGTACATCTAAATCTTAATGTACTATTTCCTTCCATCTTGTATTTGTAGTGTTTTGTTCTTCTCTTCATTTGCTTATTTGCTCATCAGTTTAGATATATTTTCTACCCATTTGCATGGTTACATTTATCTTCTCCTGTATGTAGTGTCTTCCTTTGTGTATCTTCTACAATGTTGTTTTAGTGGTCATTAATTACTTTACTTTTGCTTATCATGAAAGATTTTTATTTGTCTAGGGTGATAGCTCTTTATTATTAGCACTTTATATATCATTATATGTGCTCCTTTAAGGTTTCTATTGAAACCTGTTTTGATGGGCTTAGCATTGACTGCATTTCTCTCGCAGCTTTCAGTATTTTTTCCTTGTTCTACACATTTATTGCTTTAACTACTCTATTATCATCTCTGTTTCCTTGTTCTTCTTCTGTACTTCCTTTTATGTACAATCTTTAATATTTCTACTAGTTTTACTTTAAGGCTAAACATGAAAATTCTTTTGTGGAGGAGATATGGCTGTGAAAACAAGTGCAAATACTGTGTCCACAAAATAAAGATGAAAGCTATCGTTAAAGCAAATTAATATGTACATATTTGACAAATACTGTGTTTTTGGAATTCACATGATCCTATGTTCATTTTGTATTTCATTTTATACATTTTTCAACATTTAGAATAATTTCTATAAGAAACAATGAGGGGGCTGGGAAGGTGGCTCAGTGGTAGAGCGCTTGCCTTGCATGCCTGAGGCCCTGGGTTCGATTTCTCAGCACCATATAAGCCAAAAGAAAAAAAAAGCCGGAAGTGGCGCTGTGGCTCAAGTGGTAGAGTGCTAGCGTTGAGCTGAAGAGCTGAGGGACAGCACTCAGGCCCAGAGTTCAGGCCCCACAACCGGACCAAAAAAAAAAAGAAACAATGAGTATCTCACTGCTCCTGGCATGTTATAGCTAATAAATGATTATTGAAGAGGAAAGAGTTTTAGGGTACTGCATAAAAGAACTTGCCTAAACAAGCTGTATTTTGTATTGTATATGCAAGATACTATATTTGATTAGTTTTCACCAAATTGTCAGATTTAATAGCCATTTCTTTGTTTTGTGTTCTTGTTCATTTTAGATCTCTTTGAACATACCCTGCTCACTTTTTCTTTTGTGGTTTTTTTATATTGTCCATTAATTAGATACTTTAAATTAGAAATAATATTTCTAATGAGAAAAACAACAAAAGAGAGCTTTAAAATTTAAATATAGTTCAAAAAAGAGTAGAAGAAATGTTTGCTTCTGTAAAACTGCGCTCACTTTCTGTTTTTGATTATTGTAGGTTGGCTGCCTGGCTGTTCGTATAAAGAGTTGCAGACAATTAGTACCTAAAAGTATCCTTTCTTTTGATTTAAAATAATAGTATGATCATATCGCACTGTTCCAGTTTCCCATTAGGACATTAGAAACCGTTCTAAACCTACCTTCTTAAAATATTAACCATTTTCTTACTAGTCACCGTGTGCATCCACTGGGTGGCATGTGAACTTCATGATATCACAGCTGGAGCTGTGACAGATCAAAATGGAGGGATATCTGAAATGGCCAACTGATGCCATTGTCACTGTCAATTGTGTCACTGTTCCTGGGGATGCTTGGAAGGCTTGTCTTTAGCTGGAATGCTGAAATTGCTAGAGCTCTCATTCTTTCTGTGTCATCCCATCATTTTTTATGTACGGATTCTTATTTTAAAATGTTATTTTCTTTTTTTTTTCTTTTCTTTTTTTTATTGTGAGAATACCGTACAGAGGAGTTACAATTACATGGGCAAGATAATGAGTACATTTCTTATCAAGCATTGTTGCCTCCTCTTTGTTTCCCCTTCCCATCCCTTCCTATACTCCCCCCTCTCCTCACCCGATCCTCCCCCCACCCCCCACCAAAGTTGTAAAACATAACAGCTTGTACATCTCATTGTTGCAATGGGTCCACCTGTATCCCTAGTTAAATGATTTGTTTTTTCCCTTCCCCTCCACAAATTATACCAACATCAAATACAGTGAAAACAGGGCTTATACCGTGGGGGAGGGACATACAAAGCAACTAATAAATCATCTTATAAACATGTTAGAAACAATTGCATGAAAGGAAAAAAAACAAAAAAAATTGAATACTTATCTTGGGGTTCATTCCCCTAACATCAACTTATCTGACCTTTTCTGCTTGACTCAGACATATACTAGTTATTGCAAATAAGGGAAACCATGGTACCTATGTTTCTTTGGCCTGGCTTACTTAATATAATTTTTTCCAAGTCTTTCCATTTCCTAACAAATGGGGCAATGTCATTTCTTTCTGATGGAGGCATAGAATTCCATTGTGTATATATACCACATTTTCTTGATCCAAAGGGAACCTTACTGCATTGTTGGTGGGAGTGTAAACTTGTTCAACCACTTTGGAAAGCATTATGGAGGTTCCTCAAAAGACTCCACATAGAGCTCCCCTTTGACCCAGCAATCCCACTTTTGGGCACTTACCCAAATGATCACAAACAAGACCACACTAAGGCTACCAGCACAACTATGTTTATTCCAGCATTATTCACCATAGCTAAGATATGGAACAAACCCAGATGCCCCTCAGTAGATAAAATGTTATTTTAAAAAATACTGATTACTGATGTTTTCAGTGTCTCCTCAATTTACACCCTAGGCTGGTGCCTCTGATCCATCCTAGTTCCAGGCTACTTAGATCCACTGTGCTCACGAGTTTAAATGATCACAAGGCTAGCTCAGATTCAAGGGGAAGGAAAATAAACTCCACTTTTTGATGTGGAAGTGAGAAAATAATTTTTGGATATCTGTAAGTTACATAACAATCATCATACAACATCAAGGAAAAAGAATATTTCTGAAGCCATAATGCTAATTTAATTATAAGTATTCATGCTTCCATTAAACATTTTGGAAATGATTTAGCTTATATCAGTGTCTTAAATAAATTGAATGTTTATTTTTAGACTAGTCACAGTATAATGCCAGTCTCATAATGACAATTTGTGTTTATTTTCTACATAAGGGGAATTAAAAAACTTCTATATGGAGATTTGTTTGAGATAACCATGAGAAGAAAATTGTTTTACTTCATGGAGTACTATGAAAGATAACAATCCATATCAATAATAGTATACAAGAAGCAGATAGTGAAATAAAGTATAATACTTTTCTCTAAAAATTCTTTGTGTTAAACTGAAAATATCCTCGAGTGGTGTGTATTTATTTAAACAAGCTCTACACGATATACATCAGAAAATTTCAGAGATATATTGCATATTCTTAGTCACTTAAATACCGATATAAAGAAGAACTTGCAAAGGAAGAAGGATGGGAGTGTGGGGGTGAAGATATGCTCAGTGTTCTCATGAAGAGGAAAGCCTTTTCTGGCCTATATGTGACTGCTGGCAATAGGGAAATAGTATTTTAAGAGACTTGCCATTTGTATGTTCTAAAATACTTGCTTCTTAATATTTTGACCTGAATTATTCAAAGTATTAATTTTATAATGTGTTATTTTTAAATTACAACAATTTTTTCCTAAACATTTTAAGTCAGTGTGCATCAAGATAATTTGTTCATTCGGATATCAATAAACACCATTGTGAAATGTACAAAAACTTATCATTTGACATCCAGTAGCAATGAAAAGAACCCTGTAATTATATTTAGTGATGTGAAGTATTTTACTATACAGGTAATGATAAATTTTCTTGTATTGATAATAATATCTTTATGTAGTTTCACATATTCCATCCTAATTATACATTTTATAGGTAGTAAGGAAATAAAAGTGATGCGTTTAATTTTGTGTTTTATACTGTTTATCTGCTAAGCTATGGATTGTAGTGATGTTTTTAATAAGCTGCTTACTGACAAGTATATTATCTCAGTAGACTTCTTTCTTGATAATAAGAAACTTACTGACAAGTATGTTATCTCAGTATACTCATTATCTCAGTAGACTTCTTCCTTGAAATGTTACTGTCTGGCTTTTAGTGTTTATGCTCTTTTTTGTTTTGTCCATTTTATCTACCTTTTTCATCTTTTCTTTTAAAAAAATTTCCCTCCTTTGTCCTCTTTTTATTCCCCTTATATAGACTAATTGTTTTCATATAGAGTATATATTTAATTGTAACACAGTCTCCAAAGATATTGTCTACTTATTTACCTTGTTTATCTATCTTACACACTTATTTATTTTACCGTGTGTGTGTGTGTGTGTGTGTGTGTGTGTGTGTGTGTGTGTGTGTGTGTGTGTGCGCGTGCACGCACACTTATGTACACCAGTCTTGGACTTGGACTTGCCTTGGACTCAGGCCCTAGGCACTGTACCTTAGCATTTTTTTACTCAAGACTAGAGCTCTACCACTTGAGCATAGCTCCACTTCCAGCTTTGGCTGGCTTTGAGCCATGATCCTCAGATCTCAGCCTTCTGATTAGGTAGGATTACAAGTGTGAGCCCTTGGTTCCTGGCCTATGTGTTTCAACCTTAAAATTCTTTTTGATGGTTTTAGTGTTTGAACTGTGGGCTTCCCACTTGCTAGGCAGATACTGTGACACTTGAGCCACACCTACAACCTCATTGCTCTGATTTGTAAAAAAGGATCTTGATTTCTGCCCAGGCTGACTTGGGTTATGATCCTCCTACTTTATGGTTCCTTTTATAGTTGGCGTGGCAGGCAAGCACATATCACCAAGTCCAGCTTATTCTGTTGAGATGACGTCTCATGATCTTTTTTGTCTGGACTGGCTTGGAACTACATTCTCCCCAATCTTAACTAGCATAGCATTCAGGAAACTCTGGATTGAATCCCAACAACCACAATAAATAATAAATAAACAATAAATAGTAGACTAGAATAAAGATCACTAAATAAACTAATAAACCAAAAAGGATATTAATATTCTTTAATATTAAATATTTGGATTACTTGGATTCTTTGGATTTTGTGTTACTTATTAGATTGGATATTATATGTATTTGACAATGTAATTCACTTCGTGTGTGTGTGTGTGTGTGTGTGTGTGTGTGTATGTGTGTGTGTATATGTGTGTGTGTACTGAACTTAGACTTGTGTGACCTGAACTCAGGGCCTGGGCACTGTTGAGTTTTTTTTTTCCCTCAAAGCTAGTACTCTTCCACTTGAATCACAGTTCCACTTCCAGCGTTTGGGGGTTAATTGAAGACAAAAGTCTCACAGACTTTCTTTGGCTGCCTTCAAACTGTGATACTCAGATCTCAGCCTCTGGAATAGCTAGGATTATAGGCATCAGCTATCGGCTCCTGGCCAGCACAAAGTTTTGAGAGTGAATACAGAATTAAAAAGAGAATATAAGGTACTAGAACATTCCAAAAAAAATCATTTGGGCATTAGACATAAAAATTATCCTGATTTGTATTGTGATTAGAGTATATGTTATATTTGATAAGCTTGAAAAGTTACAAAGCTAGTTACATACAAAATCTAGCAATGCCCACAATATAATTTATAGATGTATTGATTTAAAATTATTTCTGAAAGTCAACTGAAGATTTAATACTTCTTTTCATATATTTTGTATTGAGGTTCCCAGACGTCAAGAGGATGAGCGCAATAAAATTTTGTTGGAACTAATGCAATATGTCAATTCAGAAAATATTCCTTTTCTTTTAGGGAGTGTTGAAGTACATCTTTATGAAGTAATCCAAGTATGTATAAATTTTTTTCCACTTTGCTGCCACACTGTCCAGTTTGTATTTGTTATTGTGGTTTATTGTACTTGACACACCCTTTTATTATCTGCCTTCAAACTCATATGCATAGGAAAACAAATTTTCACTAAAAAAATGATTCAACTGTCTGAGAAACAATAAAATCACCAGATGGCATGGAGCTTAAAGAGGAAAACTTTTCCTCCCTGTGAAATAATATGATAGGGAAGCAATTTGAGGGAAGTGTGGAGAAATGCTACTCTACATCCTGGCTTTAAGATGTGTGAGTTTTTTGGAGAAGGAGAAGTTTTTTAATTGAGAGAAGCATATAAGGAAAACATCATATCTTCTGTGGTGAGTCAGGTCTCAGGGAAAATGGAGAGGTAGAGAGATGTAAGGAATGCATAGTAAAACAATGAAAGACGCAAAATCTGGGGAAGAAAGGAAATGATGAGATGTCGCATGAGGTGGGCTAATTAATGTGGCAGAGAGATGACCACACATGGTACCCAAGGATACCAATGATTTACTTGGTTAAAAGATCCTAGTAGTCCCCAGGGGATAAGAAGGGCACTAGTCCTCTGAGGAGTCAGTTTATCACGTAACCTGACATAAAGAATATAGAACCTAACCTTTTGTAAAGAATACAGACATGGTAGTTTCTCTAAGATGTCCAGAACAGGGAACTGTAACAAGGAAAAACATAAATATGAATATCAACATTTATTATAGTTTCCTGGATTTGTTCTTCTACTGAATGTTTATTATGTTTGTGTTTTAGCTATAAAATTTATATGCATGTTTGAAATAGCATTACCTAATTTATTTTGTGCTGGTCCTGGGGCTTGAACTCAGGGACTGGGCACTGACCCTGAGAATTTTTTTTCCTCAAGGCTACTGCTCTATCATTTGAGCCACAGCTCCATTTCTAGCTTTTTGGTAGTCTATTGGAGATAAGGACTTTCCTGCTCAGGCTAGCTTCAACCACAATTCTCAGATCTCAGTCTCCTGAGTGAGTCACCAATGTCCAGCTATTATCTAATTTTAATTGTAATATAGTGTAAATAATACAGAGCTTAAATACATGAGTAATTGTATATTTAAGAATTTTGTTACTTACTACTGTTTTCTAGAAAGGGTGCTTTACCGAAGAATTACACATGTTGAAGAAAAATAAAGTAAGAACTTTGCCAAAATGCCTGGTTTTGTGCACATGCAATAGTTTAACTTTTTGTAGAACTTTACTGATACTGTTTGTAATGTATACCTTTTTATTCTGTTACTAATAGTCACTGATTAATTTAGTAAAAACGTGTTAAATAGAAAATACAATATTTGCTCACAAAATCTTCACTCTCCCTTTATTTGTTGTTGTTATTGTTGAAGTTGCTAAGTTATGAAATCATTGAGTGAGAGAGTAAATGATCCCTCCCTGCTTCTTTGACTGCAGTCTCAGGAGCATCGCTGCTAATTTGAAGGAGTAATACTTTTGTCCTGAAGAGTTTTTGAAGAGTTGCCTTTTTAAGTATTTAAGATTGTTAGCTGATTAACTAATTTTCTGTTACAAGAGACTTCTGCTGTCTCATGGCCAAAACTAGAAGAAGGAACAAAAGTCATTACAACTGATCCTCTCCTTCATTTTACACATAAGCAACCTGGGTTCAAAGAGATTAGTTGTCTAATGCAAATTTTATTAGAAAATGAGGATGGAGGTGAGAGGACTGTGAGTAAATACTTTTAAAAATATATGCATGCATTATGAATATATATATATATATGTTTTAGAACCTTAGTATATAATCCTATTAACAAATCTAAGTTGATATTTTTCATACATCAGTCACAGTATTTTCAAGCTTTAACATGAAAGGTCCTAACATTTTATAGACGGAATAGGTCCTTCTTTAAGAGTTTCTTGCTTGTTTTTTTTAAATAAGGAGATTCATAAGTAGACCTTTCTAGTTTATAGATTTGTGATATAAAAATAATACTTGCCATCACTTTTTCAACAAAACATCATTCTGATCAAATAATAAATTTGCCACATGTTTAGTTTGTCTGCAAGTTGGATGTGGAGTTTATGTTCACCTATGGAAACTTTGGGTATGGATTTTCACATCAGGTTAGTTCCCTTTTTAAAATGTTACTCTGTTTTGTAGCTCAAATATTTTTAAATGCTTCTCTTTATTCTAATTCCAGTGTATAAATATGAGAGTTTACCATTATTTGTTTATACATTTCAAATGATGATTTTATTCAGAATGTCTTTATTGTTTTGTGTTTTGGGCCTTTTTGTTATGGTTGTTGTTGGTGGTGGTTATGGGGGTTTTGAACTCAGAGCCTGAAGCTCTTTTACTCAGGGCTAGCGCTCTAGTGCTTTGAGCCACAGCTCCACTTCTAGTTTTTGAATGGTTAATTGGAGGTTAAGAGTCTCACAAGGACTTTTCTGCCCAGGCTGGTTTCAAATCATATTCTTCAAATCTCAGCCTCCTAAGTCTGGGATTATAGGTGTGAGCCTCCAGTGCCCAGCTTATTTTGTGTGGTGCCTACACAAATAAAAACTGACAACTGGGAAATACTAAAGGAAAGAACTGCAGTGACCCCTAACCTAGTTTTTGCGGTTCTTCTCTATACTTCACACTGAATCACAGATGTGAAGAGAAAGGGATTTTAATGGCTTTTGGAAAATGGTCATTTCTATTCTATTTTATAATCAAGACTGTTAAAATACTCTTTAGGAAGGTTGGCTGTAATAGAAGTTTTTGTAATAAAAGATGCCTATTTTTAAAAGCTCATTATTTTAAGTATTTATGAAATGTGGATTTTTACATCTAAAAAATTTAAAGTTTAGTTATTAATTCAAGCATGACACTGCATGCTTGTATTCCCAATCCTTTGTAGACAGAAGCAGAAGGATGATGTATTCGAGGCCAACCTGGGCTACATAGTGAGACCTTGTCTTTAAAAAAAAATGGAGTTGTAGGTTAGAGGCATGGACCAAGTGGTAGAGCACAAGCCATGAGCAAGCAAGCTACATGAGTGCAATGCGCCTGAGTTCAAGCCCTAATACCTCAGAAAATAAAGGGGAAGGAAGGAAGGAGGGAGAAGCAATTACTGATATCAGTTATAACATGTTTTACACTGACCATATACCATATATTCTCCCCCCCATGGTCATTTTCAATATCTGATGTTATTTGAACTGTCCTTGATTCAACAAGAGAGTAATAGAAGTCATGCACTGTGAATCATAGTCCTAGGTACTAGGGAGGCTGAGATTGAGAAGATGAAAGTTTGAGGCCACCCTGGGAAAAGAATTTGAGAGAATCCTCAATTGGTAGCTGGGCATGGTGACATGCTTCTGTTTTCCCAGCTGTACAGGAGGGTAAGATCAGGAGTAGGATAGTTCCAGGCCAACCAGGACTCCATCCTAGTGGAAGAAGTTGGAGGTGGTGGTTTGCATCTATAAGTTCTGCTGTAACAAGAGTGTAAAATTAGAGAATTGATGGTTCAGGCATGGGCATCCTATCTAAAAAATACCTAGTGCAAAAAAAAAAGGCTGGAGGCATGACTTAGTGGTAGAGTGCTTGCCTATCAAGCTTGAGGCTTCGAGTTCAAACCCTAGAGAGAAAAAGAGGGAAAGGAGGGTAAAAAGGAGAGAAAGAGAGAGTTAATAATCCAAGCTTTGGTTTTCCCCGTTGGTTCAGTCCTATATGAGAGTTTTCACTACTCTTAAACAACCCTTGGAAACCTCAATAAATTGGGTTTAGCCATTTGCCTAGAAATCAAATGGAAAATAATGGTGTAATTCAATTTTTAGAATGATCACACTGGAAAGATGGAAATAAGCATCTCTGTCCATCTTTTGGGTATTATATTAGCATTAGGCTTAAATAGAGAAAAATGAGGGGCAGAAGGTGAGAAGTATACACAACTAAGATATGTAAGTTGAACTGAAATCTGTTTGTTCATTATGAGTTCTAGTTTTGCAAGGTTGGTTCCTTAGGAGTCCTTATGGCTTGAGTGGACTGTCTGATTGGAATGAGATTATTGGTTTTGCTTGGGGGTGTGGAGAAACTTCAGTTTCCATCCTAGATAATTGTTTCCACTAGAGGGAGATATCATCATATGGTAATCTCTGAGACTACTGTTCCTGGAATCTCTGGGTGACTGCAGGTTGAGGGAAATAAAGAGGCATGTAGATTCTACTCCATGGGCTCTTGGACAGAACATTGCAAAAGCTGAATTCCCCATTGGAAATTTTCCTGAAAATATTAACAGACAATCCTAAAATGGTTACCATGCTTTTCTATGTACAGGATTGGGTATGAATCTGACTCAAATTAATGGGAAACAGATAGAAAATGAATGCAAAAAGATCAGGATTGTATCTTGATTTAACCTGAAAGCCCAATTAAGGAGTCAGGGCTTTTTAAGCCTGTTTTAAAGCAATTTTAAATCTGTTACATGTTTCTGTGAACATTTTTGGATACTAACTTTGTCCTTTCCATGTATTATGTTCTTGGGCTAGATTCCTGGAAAGGTAATTACTGTCCAAAACAATGGCTCTTTCAAGGAATTATTCTAAAAAAATTGTGCCAGTCTATACTATCAGCAAGTGTTGGGAAAAACTGTTGATATCCCTGGATATTATTACAACCTTGGGATATTTCTGAAGCTAGTCTTATCAGGGATGCTGCAGTCTAAGGAAATGATACTTGTATTTCATAGAATCTTTCATTTCAAACTTTTGCTGCTTCTTAAAATAGTGTTATTTTTAACTAGTAATTGAGAGTAGAGACATAAATTTTACTAAATAATTCTATATTAATTGAGGAATCTCTGTTTTAGTTGCCTATAGTTTTTTTTGTTTGTTTGTTAACACATTTTGTGTCAAAACTGAGCAATGGCCAGGCACAGGTGGCTCACGCCTGTAATCCTAGCCACTCAGGAGGTTGAGATTGGAGGATTGTAGTTCAAAGCCAGCAACAGGCAGAAAAGTCCATGAAGCTCTTTATCTCCATTTAACTACCAAAAAAGCTGGAAGTGGAGCTGTGACTCAAGTGGTAGAGTGCTAGCCTTGAGCAAAAAAAGCTCAGGGACAGAGCTCAAGCCCTGAGTTCAAGACCTAGGACAGGAACAAAACAAAACTAAAACTAAGCAATACACAAATGAAAACCACAATGAGAAAGATTTTCCCCCTTCTCTCCTTTGATTTTTATTTCTTTCTCTTTTGCCTATTTTCTTTATTTTGTTCTGAATTAGAGCTTATAAAAGCTTTGTACAACAGTAATCAGCTTGAGCAGGTTTTATGTCCAAATATGAAAATGACATATAAATTTATCCATACTATTTTCAGATAAAGCTAGTCAAGCACTGTTTTATGTAGGTATACTCTGCTAACTCAAGGAAAACAATGGAGCTAGATAATAGATGTCAAACTTGATTTTATGCCCATGAACCTTTCACTGATACAGTGTCCTGACTATCTGTCATGATTGTGTAGAATGAGCCTCACACTGGGCCAGAAAAAGCTGCATTCACAGTCTGGCCTTCATGTCTGTTTTATAACCTTGAACAAATTATAAATTTTCACTATCATCTGTAAAATAGGCACAGTTGCCTACCTCATTGGTGTTTACTGAGAGGATTAAGAAAGGTTAATATGGCAATGTCATTCTTTCTGATGGAGGCATGGAATTCCATTGTGTATATATACCACATTTTCTTGATCCACTCATCTACTGATCTATTCATCTTAGCTATAGTAAATAATGCTGCAATAAACATAGTCGTGCTGGTAGCTTTAGTGTGGTCTTGTTTGTAAACCTTTGGGTAATTTGTTAGGAAATGGAAAGGCTTGGAAAAAATTATATTAAATGAAGTAAGCCAGGCCCAAAGAAACATAGGTCCCATGGTTTCCCTTATTTGCAATATCTAGTATTTGTCTGAGTCAAGCAGAAAAGGTCAGATAAGGTGATGTTAGGGATATGTATTCAAATGTTTTTTTTTCTTTCATGTGATTGTTTCTAACACATTTATAAGATTATTTCTTTGTTGTTTTGTATGTCCCTCCCCCACAGTATAACCCCTGCTTTCACTGTATTTGATATCGGTATAATTTGTGGAGGGGAAGGGGAAAAACAAATCGTTTAAATAGGGTTTAAATAGGGATGCAGGTGGACCCATTGCAACAATGAGATGTACAAGTCGTTATGTCGAAAACGAACTTTACAACTTTCGTGTGTGTGTGGGGGGGCAGGGGGAGGATGGGAAGGGGATAAAAGGAGGAGTCTACAATGCTTGATAAGAAATGTACTCATTGGGCTGGGAAGGTGGCTCAGTGGTAGAGCGCTTGCCTTGCATGCCTGAGGCCCTGGGTTCAATTCCTCAGCACCACATAAGCAAAAAATAAAAAGCCGGAAGTGGCGCTGTGGCTCAAGTGGTAGAGTGCTAGCCTTGAGCTGAAGAGCTGAGGGACAGTGCCCAGGCCCAGAGTTCAGACCCCACGACCGGACCAAAAAAAAAGAAATGTACTCATTACCTTGCCCATGTAATTGTAACTCCTCTGTACAGTATTTGCACAATAAAAAAAGGAAAGGTTAATGTTATAAAATACTAAGTACATATTTAGTACTCAATAAATTTAGTTTTTCCTTTCATTCTTTTTCTTCTCAAAAGCTTTACCATAGTCCTAAAGTATTAACAACACTAGGGTAAATTGTAACTAAGTAATGATAAAATATACTTACGTTTTTCTCTAGTTAAAACCTCTTCAGAAACTTATTGAGCCATCTATGTTTATGAAGATTACACCACCCCCGGAGAGAACAGATCCCCAGACGTAAGTGTTTTAGTTGCATTAATATGTTAAGATTATGTAGCACTGACGATTTGGAGGAAAATTGCTTTGACATCCTAAATTATGTTTTCTCCTCACTTATTTCTCATTGCCATATATTAGTAATACAGGGAGTTTCACTATGATAATTTCTTAGAAGGACAGTATACTGTGAACAAGTTTATCCCCTTTATTCTCAATCCTTGCTCCTTGTCTCTCTCAGACAGTATTTGGTGAGTCTCCTTATGCTAGCATCACTTTGCTCTTTCATTTTTAGAGTGAAATCATGCAATATTTGCCTTTCTGAGCTTGACTCATCTTACTCAGTATGATGATCTACACTTCCAATCAACTTCTTGCAAATGATCTAACTTCATTGGATATTAATCTTTTACCATTATAGCTGGTGGGGAATTTCTCATTCTGGCTAATTGTTTCCACTGATATGCATTTGTCAGTTTCTCTTTTATTCCTGAGTATTTAGATCTTAGTCACAGAGTCATTGCTTTTCCAGTATTTTCCCTATGTTTTTCCCTTAGTAGTTTCAAGTTGTACCTTAAGATCTTTGGTGTATTTTGAATAGATCTTTGTACATGAGAGATAAGGATATAGTTTCCATTTTCTGCATGTGTTTAGCCAGTTATTCCAGCACTATTTTTTGAAGAGACTGTCTTTTCTCTGATATAGGTGAGTGTGTATCTGATATTTGTTTAAAACCAAATGGCTGTAGCTATGTGGGTTTATTCTAGATCTTCCATTCAGTTCTATGGGCTTTCATGTCTTTTTGTTCTAGTACCATGCTGTTTTTATTACTAAGACTCTGTAGTACATTTTGAAGTTTGGTATTATGGTATATCAATGTTGCTCTTTTTTGCTCAGGATTATTTTTCTGGTTGGAGTTTCTGTATTTTCATATGACGTGTATATATGTCACATATTTTCATATTTAAGATGGATTTTTCTCTTTCTGAGAAGAATAACAGATTTTGAAGGGAACTCTGACAAGTGTCTAGATTATTTTGGTGGCATAACCATTTTTAAACTATTAATTCTGCAGTGCATGAGCATGGGAGTTCTCTGCCCTCTGCTGTCTTCATCAATTTCTTTCTTCAGTGTTTCATTGTTTCACTTCCTTAGTTAAGTAATTTTTTGAGGTTATTGAAAATGGAATTTGATTCCTGATTACTTTCTCAGTCTTCTTAATATTGGCTTGTTATATAGAAAAGTTACTGATTTCTGTTCATTAATTTTATATCCTGGTACATGACCAAAAATGTTTATCAGACCTAAGAGTTTGTGATTTTGTCTTTTTTTTTTGGTCTCCTTAGGGTCTTTTGCACTTAAGAAATCAGGTAAGATCTTAAATACATTCATAATTCTAGTAAAACAAAAAAAACCTCAAACCTCAAATTAGTAGGTGGAAAGAAAGAAGAAAACTCAGAGCAAAAAAAATTAATGAAATGGAGACCGAAAAATACAAGAATCAGTGAAGGAAAATGTTTGCTCTTTGAAAAAAATTAATAAGCCCTGAGTCAAACTGACCAAAAGAGAGAAAATATCCAAAACTGTATGGTGATTAACCAATTTTGCCAGCACCATATACTGAAGAGGCTGTCTTTCTTCCATTTTATTTTTTAGCTCCCTTATCAAAGATTAGGTGGCTATAGGTCTGTGGGTTCATTTGTGGGTCTTCAGTTCTATTCCAACAGTCCTCAGGTGTGTTCTTGTGCCAGTACCAAGCTGGTTTGATTACTATGGCTTTGTAGTAGTATTTGAAATTTGGTATTGACATTCTTCCAGCACTATTCTTTCTGCTAAGGATTGTTTTTGCTATTTGGGGTCTTTTATTGTTCCATATGAATTTTTGGATTACTTCTATTTTGTTTAAGAATGAGGTTGGGATGTTGATAGGTATTGCATTGAATTTGTAGATAGCCTTTGGCAGTATTGCCATTTTCATGATGTTAATCCTTCCAATCCAGGAACATGGGTTTTTTTTCTTCACTTCCCTAGTTCTGCTTTAATTTCCTTTTTCAGGTTTCTAAAGTTTTCATCATAGAGGTCCTTCACTTCTTTAGTTAACTGCTAGGTATTTTATTTTTGTAGGGCTATTACAAAAAGGGTTGCTTTCCTGATTTCAGCCACATTATTGGCATACAGAAAAGCCATTGATTTTTAGGGTTAATTTTATACCCTGCTACTTTGCCAAAGTTTCAGATCAGTTCAAGTATCTTGGGAGTGGAGTCCATGAGGTGCTTTAAATACAGTATCATGTCATCTGCAAAGAGGGAGAGTTTTACTTCATCTTTCCCTACTTGGATACCCTTTATGTTTGCATCTTGTCTTATTGCTCTAGCAAGGCATTCTAATACTAAATTGAAGAGAAGTGGAGAGAGTGGACTCCTTGTCTTGTTCCTGAATTTAGAGGAAATGGTGTTAGCTTTTTGCCATTACGTATAATGCTGGCTATAAGTTTGTCATACACAGCCTTTATTATGTTGAGGAATGTTCCATGGATTCCTTGTTTTTTCCAAAGCTTTCATCATAAAGGGTTGTGGATCTTGTCAAATGCTTTTTCTGCATCAATTGAGATAATCATGTGGTTCTTATCCTTGCTCTTGTTGATGTGCTGAATTATATTGATTGATTTTGTGTAGATTGAACCAGCTTTGCATCCCTGAAATGAATCCTGTTTGATCATGGTGTATGATTTTTTTTGGATGAGTTGTTGAAGTCGATTGGCCAAAATTTTGTTGAGAAGTTTTGCATCGATGATCACCAAAGAAATGGGTCTATAGTTCTCTTTCTTTGATGAGTCCTGCCTGACTTTAGGATGAGGGTTATGATGGCTTCATAGAGTTTGGTAGTGAGCTTTCACTTTCAATTTCACTGAAGAGTTGGAGTATTGGTGTGAGTTCTGCTTTGAAGGCCTTGTAGAATTCAGCTGTAAATCCATTGTCCTGGGCTTTTCTTGGGTGGGAGGTCTTTTACGGCTATTTCTATTTTGATGCTTGATATGGACCTGCTAAGTTGGTTTAAATCATGTTGGTTTAGTTTGGGCATGTCAATATTTGCTAGAAATTCTTCTATTTCTTCCAGATTCTCAAACTTATTAGCATAAAGGTTTGAAAAGTATTCCTTTATAATGTTCTGAATATTGGTTGTTTCTGTGGTGATGTTTGCATTCTCATCTCTGAGTTTGTTTGTTTGGATGTGTTCTCTTCTTCTTTTGTTATATTTGTAAAATATCTACTTTATTTATTTTTATTTATTTTAAATTTTATTATTAATATGTTTTTTATTGTGAAAATACCATACAAAGGTGTTACAATTACATGAGCAAGATAATGAGTACATTTCTTATCAAGCATTGTTGCCTCCTCCTTTGTTTCCCCTTACACCATCCCTGCCCACCCCCCAAAAAAGTTGTAAAGTTCATTTTTCGACATACCATCTTGTACATCTCATTGTTGGAATGGGTCCGCCTGTATCCCTATTTAAACAATTTTTTTTCCTTCCCCTCCACAAATTATACTAACATTAAATGCAGTGAAAACCGGGGTTATACTGTGGGGGAGGGGCATACAAAGTAACAAAAAAAATCACCTTATAAATATGTTAGAAACAAGAGCAAGAAAGAAAAACCATTTGAGTCTTTATCTTGAGGTTCATTTTGCCTAACATCAACTTATCTGACCTTTTTTGCTTGTCTCAGACATGTACTAGGTATTGCAAATAAGGGAAACCATGTTTCTTTGCTCTTGGATTACTTCAGTTAATATAATTTTTTCCAAGTTTTTCCATTTCCTAACATTCCATTTCCATCATTCTTTTTTTTGGGGGGGGTCTGGTCGTGGGGCCTGAACTCTGGGCCTGGGCGCTGTCCCTCAGCTCTTCAGCTCAAGGCTAGCGCTCTACCACTTGAGCAACAGTGCCACTTCTGGCTTTTTTCTTATGTGGTCTGAGGAATTGAACCCAGGGCCTCATGCATGCAAGGCAAGTCATCTACCACTGAGCCACCTTCCCAGCCCCTTTCATCATTCTTTCTGATGGAGGCATAGAATTCCATTGTGTATATGTACCACATTTTCTTGATCCATTCATCTACTGGGGGGCATCTGGGTTGGTTCCATATCTTAGCTATAGTAAATAATGCTGCAATAAACATAGTTGTGCTTTTTTCTGATAAGATTTGCTAAGGGTCTGTCAATTTTGTTAATTTTTTCAAAGAACCACCTCTTTGTTTTGTTCTTTCTATGGTTTTTTGGACTCTAATTCATTTAATTCTGATTTAATTTTAATTATTTCTTTCCGTCTACTGGATTGGAGTTTAGTTTGCTGCTTTTTTTTCAAGGAGGTTCCGATGTCTCATTAAATTTTTGGTTTCAGATCTCTCCAATTCCTTGGTGTAGGAACTCAGAGCTATAAACTTGCCTCTGAGTACTGCTTTTGCTGTGTCCCAGAGGGGCTGGCAATTTGTGTGCTCATTTTTGTTGAATATCATGAACATTTTAATTGACTTTCTGATCTCTTCCATGACCCACTTGTGGTTCAACAGTGTTCAGCCTCCATGTGTTACAGAATTTACTTTGGTGGCTTTTGGTGTTGAGTTCTAATGTTTTGATCCGAGGTTTCACTGTTGAGTTTTTGCCAGTTGGTCTATCCAGCGGGAATAGTGGTGAGTTAAAGTCCCCAACAATTAATGCCTTTGGATCTATGTGAGCTTTTAGGGAAAGTAGTTTTTCTTGGATTATCTGCTACTATTTTATTGTATATATTTTCTATGTCTTAGCTTAGACCTCTTCTCTTTTGTCTATACCTATGATTCATAGATTTGATATTTTATTGGTGTCCTAGAGGTCTTACATGTTCTGTCCATATTTTCTTAGTTTCTTAGTTTTCCTTTGTCTTTGTCTAACTGATCTATTCCTTTACTTTATTTTTTTTATCTCATTTGAAGCTATAATGTCAATGTGACAGTGCAGTGGCTAAGTTAAAGGTGCTTATTAGCCAAAATAGTTAACCCTTCTCTTGTAGAAGGGTTAGTTATCTGTTTCTGGACTGTTTTCTCTATAGAAAGCTTTCCTTTGTGTATTTGGAGGTCCTGCGGGGAGCTTTGCAGGCTCTGAACTCAGCAGATTCCAACTGGATCCACATACTCCTCAATGTTATTTCTAGGGCAGCAAGTATCCACACCTTATGGTGCAATCAGAGTCAAGAGAACAAGGAGAACACTGAATTTTCTACTGGTGGGAGAATTGAGGAATTTAGTTGCTTTACCTGCTAGTCTCAATGTTTGCAGACCCTTTTACCTTCCAGTTGTAAAAAAAGGAGGCAATAGAAGGTTTATAATTCAGATTGTCTGAATATAATTCAGATGATGACTGTAAGCAAACACAAGCCAGAATGTAGTTCCTAGGTGTGTTCTTAGTGCTTTCAGGCCCTGCTGTACAACTGACTCTCCTCATGATGGTATCTTCAGTTTCGAGGAACATTGTAATTATCTTAAGACATCCTAAAAACATGACTGGAAAGGGCTAAAGGCTCCCAGATAAATGGAACACTGAATGATTTTTCTTAATAACGAGGGAGAACTTTCGAATTTCTGAATATAGCCTTGGAGAAAGGAGGTAAGGAGATCCCTAGGGATAAGAGGCAGCACACTCTTCATGGCAGAGGAGGGAAAGGAGAGGTGGAATAAAAGTACAAAAGATAATACTAATTCTTTTTATAATATCTACCACTGATTTTAAAAGTACATTCTTGCGTGATATTAACACTTTGTTATCATTTTGTAGAAATGTTATTACACCCCAGCCAATAGGTTACCCAGCATTCTTATCCCAGGACCTGAATGTTACTGTTGGAACTCAAACTGATAAGAAACATTCCATCCAGACACCTACAGTGCAACTAGAAAAGCTTCAGCAACAGCCCCGGGAAAGGTAATGCACATTTTATTTCTTTGTATTCTTGTTTCATAACTTAATTTCTTCCTCTGGGCCATTGTTTTTCCATTGGCCCAGCAATATTGATTGTGATGATGCTTCATGCGTTCATAGATTATTTCTTAGCAAATTTAAGTGTTTTGTTCAATAGAAATCAATGTTTTGTTAAGAATAGAAGTGAAAACTCATAAGGAAGACAACATAACTGTTGCTATCTTTACTCAACAATGTACTGCATAGTTTCATGCTTATTTTTGTGTTTCTCACTCTTTTTCTCCATGTTTCAATCTGAATATTTCCTTTGGACTTTCTCTTGTTCACTTATGTTTTGTTTCTAATCTGCTGTTAAACTAGTTGACTTCTTAATTTGTTATTTTCTTTCTCAGCTAATGGATTTTCCACTTGTATAGATTATAGATATTTCTCTATCAAAAATCTTTAGCTTTGCCTTCTAGTCTTTTGAACATATTAATCATTGTACTAGCCAGCATAGATCACTACAAAATACAACTCAGGTACCTTTAACCTTAGATATTTATTTCTCACAGTTGGGAAGAGGAGAGGAGAGATGAGAGAAGAGAATTCCTGGGGCTTGAACTCAGCCTGGCACTGTCTCTGAGTTTGCTTTTTTTCCCCCTCCTCAAGGTTAGCACTCTACTACTTGAGCAACAGCTCCACTTTCAGATTTTTGTTTTGTTTTGTGATGGCCTAGTGCCATCAGGGCCTAGGCACTATCCCTGAGCTATTTTAATCAAGGCTAGCACTCTTACCACTTGAATCACAGCTCCATTTCTGGTTTGTTGAGGTTAATTTGGAGATAAGAGTGGCATAGACTTTCCTGCTCAAGCTGGCTTTGAACCATGACCCTCAGATCTCAGCCTCATGAGTAGGTAGTAGTTAATTGGAAATAAGAGTCTCACAGATTTTCCTGCCCAGGCTGGCAATCCTTAAACTCCTGTCCTCAGATCTCAGCCTCCTGAATAGCATCAGCTATTAGTGCCCAGCCTAATTCCCTTTTGTATCTTATCTTATATGGACACTAATCCCATTTGTGAGGGCTTCACTCTCAACCTCCCAACAGTCTCACATCCAAATATGATTACAAAGAAGATTCAAGGCTTCAATTTATGAATTCAGAGGGATGCAAAATAGGAATCATTGCTGTTTTAAAGCATATGGGTTTAATGGGTTCATTACCTGGATATGGTATAATTCTGTTCCTATTGTTGCCTTTTCCTCTTGCTTTTTGGTCAAGCCTTAAATCTCTTATTCTTGAATGGGTACTTGTTTTCACTGTGTGCCAGACATTGTAACTGAAGAGTTATAGAACTCATTGGAAGCTCTGGACTATGTACATACTTAGAGGGCATGCATTTGCATTGGCTGCCAGCTATGCTCAGAGTACCAGCAATTTCAAGTCATTTCAATGTAATTGAGATTGATATTGAAATAAAAAATCAAATGTCATTTGCAGGAACATGGATAGAGCTGGAGATCATCATATTTATATTGAATGAGATAAGCCAAGCTCAAAAAGCCAAATAGCACACATTCTTGCTTATTTGTAGAATAATAAACCTAAGATAGTCATGTACATAGATATGTACATACTTATATGTTTCTAAGTTATAAACATAAATACATATTTATATAAACATAGGCAGATATTTATATACATACAATAACTGTAACTGGGGGACTCTTTAGTGGTGATGAGAGTTAGAGGGAAAGAAAATGATGGAAGATGAGTGCCTGTGCCCCTTGACTCATACCTGTAATCCTAGTTATTCAGGAGGCTGGCCCTAGAGGACTACTGTTCAAAACAGCCTGGGGAGAAAAGGTATGGAACTCCATCTCAAATTAACCACCCAAATACCCAGCTGGAGACATGACTCAAGTAGAAGAGATATGAGTAAGCAAGTCAAGTGAGAGTGAGGCACCCAAGGACTTAAGGTAGATGTATTCTTAGTTTTGAGGTGCCATGCAAATAGCCATAGTGGTCACACTAGTTAGTTTACATTCCCATCAACAGTGTAAGAGTTCCTTTTCCCCAATTCTCAACAGTATTTCTTTCTGTTTATTTGCTTGATGATTACCATTGTGACTGGTGAAATGGAATCTGTGTAGTTTTGGTTTGTATTTCTTTCATGGCTAAAGATATTAAACATTTTTCCATAGATTATTAGACATTAGTCTTTTTATGGTCCGAATATTAATCCTTTTTTGAATAGTTGTCAATGATTTTTTTCTTCCGTTCCATAGCTTGTCTCTTAGTTCTGGTAATTGTTAGTTATGCAGAAACTTTTTAACTTGCCAGTTCTTGCTCTTATTTTCTGGACAATTAGGATCCTATTAATTACTTGTGTCTCTGTATTCTGGAGTTTCCCCAATGTTTTCCTGTAGCAGAGTCAAAATTTTAAGTTTTACATTAAGATCTTTGGTCCACTTGGATTTGGCTTTTTAATATAAGGTGAGAGATTGGGATTTAGTTTCAGTCTCCTTCATGTAGATAAACAGTTTTCCCAGTGTCATTTGTTGAAGAGGCTATTTTGGCTCCTTTATAGATAATTAGATGGCTGTAACTATGTGGTTTTAATTCTGAGTCTTCTGTTCTGTCCATTGGTCTTCATATCTGCTTCTGTATCAGTGTCAGGCTGTTTTTGTTACTGAAATATGTAGTACAGAATATGTACAAATTATATTGTAGTATACTTTGAAGTCCCGTTTTGTCATACTGGGCCCAGCATTTCTCCTCCCACTTAGGATTACTTTTTGCTATTTGAGGTCTTTTGTGCTTCTGCACACATCTTAAGATTGATTTTTCTTCTATTTCTGCAAAGAGTGAACGTGGAATTTTGATGGTCTTTGTGTTGAATCTGTAGATTATGTTCAGTGGTATGACCATTTTAATAACTACTAATTCTGCCAATCATGAACATGGGAGATCTTTCCATCTTATAGTGTGGTTTTTTTTTGTCTTACTATTTTATCTAAACACACTGGTCAACAGTAAAAATGACTAAAGTGGATCTCTTTGTTTTATTCGTGGTCTTTATTTTTCTCTTTGGTACTGGTGATTGGAGCCTTGTTAGGCCCGCACTCTACCACTGAGCCACACATCTAACCCCTTTAACAATCAAGAGCATTATTTAATGAGTCTCCTTATGGGTGTCTAGTAGTACCTATATTTATTCCATTCTGTTCCTAGTTGGTTTTTTTTAAGATTTAACAAGAATTTGTCAATTTGTTTACAAGATAAAATAGGGAGATAAACAAAAAGAACACTTCCTGATCCCCACACAGAAAATGGGAGTTAAAGACTGAAATGTTTTTGTTTTCAAGTCCTAAATACTGATTTTGGTGAAATGCTTTACCATGTTCAATCACCTAAATTATATTTAATTTATATTATCTTTTCTTTTGTTTTGCCAGTCCTGGGGCTTGAACTCTGGGCCTGGGCACTGTCCCTGAGCTTCTTTTGCTCAAGGCTAGTGCTCTACCACTTGAGCCACAGCACAATTTCCAGTGTTTTCTGTGGTTTTATTTGAGAGAAGAATCTCAAGGAGTCTCCTGCCTGGACTGGCTTTGAACCATAATCCTCAGATGTTAGCCTCCTGAGTAGCTAGGATTATAGGCATGAGCCACTTAGCACTCAGCTTAATTTATATTTTCTAATGTTAATGTCAAAATATCTGGGCTGGGAATGTGTCATAGTGCTTGCCTAGCATGCACTGGGTTTGATTCCTCAATACCACAGAAAAAGCCAGAAGTGGTGCTGTGCTTCAAATGGTGGTAGAGTGTTAGCCTTGAGCAAAAGAAGCTCAGAGACAGTGCCTAGGCCCTGAGTTCAAGCCCCAGGACCGCAAAAAACAAAAACAAAAAACCAAACCCCCCAAATATCTTTAGATTCCTGAGATGAAGACATTTTGCATATGATATATTATCTTTTCTATATTTTCTTGAATTGTTCTAAAATTATACATTACCTGTAGTCTTTGTATCTATATTTATTAATAAGATTGTAAATTTTTCCTTTTTGTAATGTCTTTGCTGGGTTTTATTTTATTTTTTGTTATTTTTGTCTACACTATGGTTTGAACTCAAGGCCTCATCCTACTTGCTTATTTGGTGCTCTTGTCACTTGAGATATACGTCCAGCCCAGCTTTTTGCTGATTATTTTGGAGACAGAGCCTCATGTGCTTTTCTGCCTAGGGTAGCATCTGAGATCTTCTCAGTCACCACTTCCTGTAGCTTGGACTATAGGCATGAGATGCTATTACCACGCTGTTTGTTTTTTTTATTAAAAAAAATTTTTTTTTACTTTATTCCTAGTCCTGGGGCTTGAACTCAGGACCTAGGCACTCTCCCTGAGCTCCTTTTGCTCAAGGCTAGCACTCTACTACTTGAGCCACAGAACCACTTCTAGCTTTTTCTGTTTATGTGGTACTGAGGAATTGAACACAGGGCTTCATGAATGCTAAGCAAACAAGCACTCTACTAGGAAGCCACATTCCCAGCCCTGTTTTTATTTTTTAACTAGTATCAATTTATACAAGAAAGTTTCATTTTTATATGTTCATATATTCATACAATGTACATTGATCAGACTCATACTTCCTATCACTCTCTGTCATACTTCTTATCCCCTTCCCAAAACATTCTCAATAAACTTTATTGTTCTGTTTTTATAAATGAACCATGACACACAGTTCAAAATACTTAGAACAATATATATCAAATAATTTCTGAAACATGTTCAGATAGATTAATGATAATCTGGCGTTACCTACATATTTATGATTCACTTTGAGAAATATAATACCACTAGTGTAAGAAATGTGTTTATGTCTTTATGAAACTACATCTATCTCCATAACAATCCTAGGCAACAAGCACTGTCATTTTTCTTAGCATTTTTATTCATCTCCTTTGATTCTCTAGAACTTTGAATAAGTGGGTTGTACTGTGTTATTACCCTGTAAACAATACCATTCATATTATTCTGTTACTTAGTTCTTATTTCATTTCCGCAACAAATCACTTTCTTTAGGCTGAAAAAAATGAAATCGATGTATAGAAACATGCAAACATGGACAGAAAAAGCTGCCTATTTAGAAAGCATCATTAACCCCAAAATGGAGACTAAAGATTCTAAGGTAATTGACATCATACATTTTTCCCATGTGCATGTATAATTTTTTAAAAGAAAGATTATGATAATTGAAGTGATGATCAAATATAGCTTGTTTAGGTTATTTTTGCTGTTGAGCTTTATGAAGAGTTCTGCCATGAATATTCTTTTGTTCCTTTTCTGTGTTTAGAAAGTTAGCATGCCTGGCAAATTTGAAAGCTGGACTCATATATTAGAGGAGCCTGAAACTAGAACATTAGGTAAGAAACAAATTAGATTTTTGTTAATTTTAAGATAATTAAAATTAGATGGGTTTTGTTTTTGAGAAAATACATATTCCTTAAAAGTTTTAATATATTAAATTTACTTTATAGCCTTCCAAAAAAGGCTTACACTTTATTAAGACTTCAAGAAAATTAATGTTTTAGTCCTTTAAAGATGAGGAAAAAGTATTAAATGTTGATTATGCTCTGATCATCTTTATTATGTAGTGGGATGTGAAATAAAAAATATGGATGGAGAAGTGGGAAGGAAAATGAAATAAGTATTGAATTTGAGAACATGACACAAATTATTAGAAAGATATTTAATTAATACATAAAAGAATGAGGCAAGTCAGTCTTTAGCTTCCCTTTCCTTTGAGAGCTAAGTACTGCGATACTACAGAGTTTTGAAAAAAAAAGAAGTTGCAGCTCAGGATGTCTTGAGACACCTGACTACAGTGGCTGAGAGTAAGTTGGCCACAAGAAACTCATAGAGAAGGAGAGGATTTTGACATGGGAGAGCTGAAAGTTAACAGAGGCCCAGAAGGAAAATGCACAGTGGTCTCAGCAGCTTGGTTCTGTCCTATGAGAGCAGTTTCATTGTCATTCAGGGTCATTTTAGAAAGAATGATCCTAGTCTTGGCAAAGGACTCAGGTTATAGGAGCTCAGATTACAGGTGCTCAAATTACGGGTATGGAGGCCTATAAGGTAGGTTTTGAGACTGACCCATGGCAGGGTAGTAGTAGTGAGGGCGGTAGGGGTGATGGGGAGAAGTTTTAACTTGGTGAGGCAAGAGCTCTGAGTAGAGCTTGGGAACCAGAAAAAAGTGTAATGAGTGGTGATACTACTCCAGTTATTATTTTTTTAATGGTTTTGTTGTTGTTGCCAGTACGGGGCTTGAGCCTTTTCAGCTTAAGGCTCATGCTCTACCCCTTGAGTCACAGCTCTACTTCTAGATTTTTGGTGATTAATTTGGAGATCAGAGTCTCACAGATTTTCCTGCTCCAACTGGCTTTCAACAATCATCCCTAGATCTAAGCCTCCTGAGTAGCTAAGATAACAGAAGTGACCCACAGGCACCCAACTCTTACTCCAGTTTGTTGTAAGGGAACTCAGTGACAAAAAAAAATAGAGAAGCCACATTTTGAGAGGTCGAATTGGGAGTCGTTAGTGGAGAGCTGGCATCTGCAGGTGGATTCCTGTCTCAAAAACCTGCAGCCCAGTACAGAGCTCGAACCAAGCTTTTAAAGATAAAAACCGCATGCTTGGGTAGGGGCACTCAAGCCCAACACAAGCAGACTGTAAACACTGCACAAGGAGCAGGGCTTTTCCTGGGACTAAAGAACATGATGCAGCTGTTTTTTTTTTTTTTTTGGTCCAGTCGTGGGGCCTGAACTCTGGGCCTGGGCACTGTCCCTCAGCTCTTCAGCTCAAGGCTAGCGCTCTACCACTTGAGCCACAGCACCACTTCCGGCTTTTTTCTTTTTGCTTATGTGGTGCTGAGGAATCGAACCCAGGGCCTCTGGCTTGCAAGGCAAGCACTCTACCACTGAGCCACCTTCCCAGCCCGCAGCTGATATTTTTTGAAGCAGGAATTTCCCAGCCTCCCTAGAGCTAATAAGCATCTGCAATTTAATGGGTAACTTGTCTCACTTCTAGGCCTTTGAAGCTGGGTGGAAAACCCCTATCACCCAGCTAGGTGCCAGGATGGCTTGTGAGAACAAAGTGCTATTACACAGCCCCAGTCTCCTTACTTCAAGTTTTATTGCTGAAGGTTATTTCAGAAATTAAATGTAAGTCCTCTGCTGGCAGCGATTAAGCTGAGAATTTCAAGCTATGCTGGGCTTTACAGTTGGTGATCTCCCTGTCTGGAATAACTCCCAGGGCCCTGAGAATCACCAGAAATAACACAAACTTGAAGAGCCTTCAGCATCCAGGAGCTATCTGCAGGCTAGTATGGCTTTCTGCCAGCTAGAATGGAGAGATCTGAGCACAGCACCTGGGACCCCAGACTCATGTGATATTCTAAAGCCTCTTTCCTCTATAAAGTGAACTGTTGTATGGGTCTAAAAGAACTGAGACATGTAGCCAGAGCACCTGAGTTCCTCACTTGACAGCCACTGGTGCAGACCTTAGTGCACATGTTGGGCACTTTCTAGGGGCTGCACATGTGCTGTCCCAAGGAGCAGAAATGGTAGCTGTACAACAAATAAAAATTGTCCTAGACTATAGGCTAACAACTTATGTATAAGTAGCAGTGTCTTTCAGTACACAAAGAAAAGCTCCTAAATTGGCTACAACACAGAAGTGGATAACTGACCAGCTTGTTCTCAACTCATACAAAACACTAAACCCTATACTGAAGAAAATACAAGAGACTCCAGTTAGTTCTCTGTTTGAACATTACTGCAGGATTAGATCTGGTATTCTGAGCATACATGCAAAAGTTTGGCAACTAGGCTATCCCCTTGCCCAGGTGTGAAAACTATACTATAGTTCTCCCATTACATAGTTCTGCTTGGACACTGAGAATACTTTAACTACAAGTCTACAGATTATTAAGACTACACAACAGCTTGACCTCAGATGCCTAAATTTCAACAAACAGATGCAAGAAATATGTAAAACACTTAGGCAACATGACACCTTCAAAGGTCAGCAATCCTATAGTAACAAACATTAAAAATAGTATAAAAGAAAGTCTAAAGAATTTAAAACATATTTATAAAAATGATTGATGAAATGAAGGACAGCATAAAAAGCTGAATGAATTCAAGCAGAATGCATATAAGCAGCTGAGCAAGCAAGGAAACCATGCAGGTTATGAAAGGAATTCAATAAAGACACAGAAATCCTTAAAATTTTTTTGAATTGAAATTCTGGAAATAAAAATCTCAATAAGGTAAATTTCTGTGGAAAATCTCCTAGAATAGACTGAATTGGAAACAGAATAATAGGGCTCAGATACAAAGGTAGAAGGTATTAGAACAACCAGATAAAGAAAAAGGAAAGAAGTGTGAATGGAGCATGCTAGACCTCTGGGACATTAGTGAAAGACTAAACCTGTGTATTATAGGCACAAAAGACAAAATAGGAACTTAAAGGGATAGAAAACATTCAATAAGTTAATAGGAGAAGATTCCCCAAATCTTAAGAAACATCAGTTCCGGTACAGAAAACTTTTAGAACACTCAACAGAAAGGAACAATTCCAAGACATATTATAGTTAAAACAATAAATGTAAAGCACAAGTGTAACACAAGTGGTTGAGTAGGTACTTGACCTAATAAAACACTGAGTTTAGATACCAGTAAAGAAGCAAAAACAGAAAAAAGGAAAGAAAAATTCAGGGAAAAGGAAAGAAAAATTCAGGGAAAAGGAACCCTTACATGATGATGTTTGAAATGTAAAATGGTCTAATTTAGTACAAAGGATCTCTGTGTGTGTGTGTGTGTGTGTGTGTGTGTGTGTGTGTGTGTGTGTGTGTGTGTGAATGAAAATATAATGAAATCTATTATTTAAAATTAACTAAAAAATTAATTAAAAATGATTTAAGAATCATAATGAGATACACCATACTTGTTAGGATGGCTACTAACAAAGATTCAAATGATAACATATAGATGAGGATGTGATGAAACTGGAACTCTTGGAAACTGTTGGTAGGAATACAAAATAGACACTTTAGAAAATAGCACATAGGTTACTAAAGAAAGTGACAAATAGGCCCGGTGCCGGTGGCTCATGCCTGTAATCCTAGCTACTCAGGAGGCTGAGATCTGAGGATCGAGGTTCAAAGCTAGCCTGGGCAGGAGAGACTGTGAGACTCTTAGCTCAAACCACTCAGAAAGCCAGAAGTGGTACTGTGGCTCAAGTGGTAGAGCACTACCCTTGAGCTGAAGAGTGGAGGGCACAGCACCCAAGCCCAGAGTTCAAGCCCCACGACCGACTAAAAAAAAAAAAAAAAGAAAGTGACAAATAGCAATCTTAACACTTCATACATAGTCTCATGTTTTCATCATGCTTGTTCATTAACTACTACTTTTATTTCTTTGAGACTCATCAGCCTGTTTTTAGTGTCATATTTATGTTTGAGTAAATGCTTTAAGTTACTCTTCATTGAATGTATACGCATACAAATAATGTGTGCAAAAAACCATAAAACTTAAACATTAAAAATTTTTTTTTAAACAGATGTTCCTGTTATATACAAGACATCTGAAACTACTGCAGCTGAGGTAAGGGAACTTAGAAGAGAAAGTGTAGTAGCCATTGTTCTATGGAAGAGAAAAAAATACATAAATGGAAATTTTAAAACATTCAAAAAGTATTCATGTATTTCATATTTTTTCTATTATATCTACACTATTACACATTTTTATTGTCTTTAAGTAGTTGTACAAAGTACAACTTCAACACATCAGTTTGAGTACAAGCCATCTTGCTCACCCCTTCCATCATTCTTCCCCTATCTATCCCAAACACAATTACCTCAAGTTATATGGTTCCATATTCACATTCACACATTGAATATTATGACTCTATTTACTTAGCCTTCCTCTCTCCATTACAGTTTTTAGAGTAGAATTACATTCTGGAAAGAGACTTCAGCATAGAATAGTAACATTTTAAAATTCGTGTGAAGGGCTAGCGGCATGGCCAAAGTGGTAAAGCACTAGCTGAGCAAGCAAATTGAAGTTCCTGAGTTCAAATCCCAGTACCAACAAAACAAAAACAAAACAAGAATGCATGTGAAAATGGGGGAGCAAAAGGTACTGAAGAGAAAATAAGAAAAAAAATACAAAATTCTACATAAGGCCTTCAGGTGGATGCCATAGACCTCACCCTATTCTTGTCCCTTTCTCACCAAAAACTTCTTATTTATTCATGTTGTAAACTTAGCACATGTAACAATGTCATGTATTTCAAAATAAAGATCTAATTTATTCATGTTGTAAACTTAGCACATGTAACAATGTCATGTATTTCAAAATAAAGATCAGTAAAAAAGGGAATTCATCTAATATAGTTTGCTTTTCTGCTAATTTTATAGGCTATATCCATTTAATTAAGCAGTGGATTTCCATATAAACCAACAAAGATTAAACATTTTTTTCCTGTTGCTTGACAAATAGTACTTAAATATTTCCATCCTAGGCTCAGTGGTTCCGAAATCAATATCTATGTTTTCCCCAGCTCAAGATGAGGGAAAAAAGACAATAAAAAGAATTTTTCACAAAGCAAATTTATTTAGCTTAAAAATGTATATTTTTAAAAAAAATTATTCTTTGGAACATATTATTAAAATGTCATTCATTTGATTATATGATTGGGATTTTGTCATTTGTTCTTAGTGTTATTTTGTTATTAAAATTTCCTTTCTTTCATGACATGTCTGTAATAGTGTAACATTAAAATGTCATACCCTAGATTTTTTTAAAAAGATGTTATAAGATCCAGATATATAAAAACTACTGCTTTATAAGCAGTGTCTTACAAACATTAGTCATTTTTGTGGGTCATATTCTGTGATTTCAGGCAAATGAAGACTTTCTCACTGTATTATCATTACAGAATATAGTAATTTACAAATATCAATGGTTATATGATAAAGAATATGGGTAAATTGACTTTAGCTTATTAATTTTAAATACTGCCTACTGAGTAGTGACTGTTAGCTTACTTTATTTCTGTATTTTATAGCTGCTAGATTACAGTGATAAAAGACTGATTATACCAACATTTGCCATATTAGATGTTCAATTGTTGTTTTTCCTAAAAATGATAAACCAACACCTTCATATGCACATTCCTACCCACAGGTTTCATTCCCCACTGTCCCTATCCTGGAAATAACACAAGATGACGAAGTAATACCATTAGGATATGAAACAGAAGCCATGCCGGAGGAAAATGAGATAAAAGTGTCTGCACTTCCATCAGGAGGACATTTGAAAGCTCCACAGCTATGCATTTATACAGATACACCAGGCTCATCTCAACCAGAGGTAAAATTGAACAGTTTCTGTATAAATCCTGAGAAAATAAGGAGGAGGAAATTAAATTCAACTGCAGTATAAACTAGGTGTCAGAGCTACTGTTTAAACTTAGTTGAAAGGAAGAGCGTGAGCTCATTTTCCTGCTATTTGAAATAAAAAGTAGCTTCAGAGCCAAGATCCAAAAGAAGACTTCACTTGAACTAAAGATGTTTACCTTCACATTAGAAATATAAGAGGAAAAAATTTATTTTAAAACAATTAAATACAAATAAATTGAATATTTATTCACATGTCTCCAGTAAAAGTTTGTCTAAGTATGTTCACTATTCCTTTCCTATTTATAGTGATGTATGAGGTAACAGTCTTTGAAGAAAACACACAGTGACACAAGATGCCAGTAATAAGAATTAGCCTCTGAGATTTGTGTAAAAAAATCCAGTTGTAAGTGCAACAATACCAACATACAAATCCAAATGAAACATAAAAGCCTGATAAATTATTTAGGTGAAACGCTTTTAAGGTCTTTTATTACAGGAAATTATGTATGGTCTCCTTATTATAAACAAATAGACTTTATTAAAGTTAGAACAATTTGAATATAAATATAAAGTACCCCAGAAAAGCCTTTTTCAAAATGAGAAAGAAGCAAAAATCTCCTCTGATATATTCATCTCATTTGAATCACTGTTGCATATAGTTCTCTAAAAAAACGGTGCAACCTGGGTACTGGTGACCCACACCTACAACCCTAGCTACTCAGGAGGATGAGATCTGAGGACCGAGTCTGAAGCCAGTCCAGTCGGGAAAGTCAGGAGACTCCTGTCTCAGTTAATCACCAAAAGATCTGAAAGTGGAGCTGTGTCTCAAGCAGTAGAGCAAAACAGCTCAGGAACAGTGCCCAGGCCTTTGAGTTCAAGGTCAGAACGAACAAAACAAAGGCAGTGCAAATGGGTTAAGATTTGATTTCTGAGTAAAACTAAAACTAGCTTGGGCACCTAAACCTCTAGATCTCCAAACCTATTTCATCATCCTTTGAATGGTTTCTGGCCAGGTCATTTCTAAATTTTCTTCAAATTTTCAAAAGATACAATTTTATTAACTCTAGGGAATTGCCTAAGATCTTAAGTAATGCAAACAAAAAGAATAAATAATGCTTTTGTATTTAGTGAACGTGAAAGTAATACAGAAAACTTAGAGCATGAAGAGAAACGAAAGAAAATAAAAGCTATATTTACTGCCACATTTAACTATTTCACTTTTCAATTGAATGCATCTTATTCAAAGGGTTTCATTGTGATATTTCCATATGTACATGTGCATTCAGTTATAGTGACTCCTTTATTACTCTATCTATTATTTTGCCGAACCTTGATTTTGCCCTTCTAAGGAATTATACTATTGGAATCTCCCATGGTTTTTTTTAAATTTCAGTTATTATTTTTGTATATACTTGCATAGCACCCAACATACTTACTTAGGAGTTTTTGAGACTATTGTCATAGAATTGTTTTCCTAGTTCCTTTTTCAGCCTGCTCATTGTTGCTACATAGAAAAACTATAGATTTTTATATGTTATTATTGCATCTTACCACTTTGTTGCATTTATCAGATCAAAAAGGATTTTTGGTATTATTTTTAGAGTCCAAGTATAAAATTATGCTTTCTACACATATGAATGCTTTGATGTCCTCCTTTCCTATTTGTACCCCTTTTATTTCTTTCTCATTAGTATGGCTAAGGTTTCAAGAACTATATTTAATATTTATTAATAACTATTTTATGTTTGATAAAAATATAGGCTGGACATCCTCAAATTGTTCCTGATTTTAGAGGAAGTGCTTTATATTTTTGCCTATTCAGTGTATTATTGGCTATGATTTTGTCATATATACCTTTTATTATGTATAGCCTAGTTTCTTAGTTTATTCCTAGTTTATTCTTAGTTTATTCCTAGTTTCTTCAAGGATTTTATTTTGAGAGGATGTTGAATTTTGTCAAAGACTTTTAATCATCTATTAAGATGATCATGTATTACTTGTTCTCATTCTATTTATGTGCTATATTTATTGATTTATGTATATTGAACCATCTTTGCATTGCTGGAATGAAACCAACTTGTGATGTTTTAATGTGTTTTTGAACTCTGTTTACAAGTATTATATTGAGTTTTTTTGTGTTTATGTTCATTAAGGAGATTGAGCTTGCCTACTTTGTATGTTTTATCTCATTCTAGTATTAGGATAATGCTAGCTCTACAGCATGGGTTTCATGGTGTTCCTTTCCTATCTATTTTATGTAATACTTTGAGAAGCACTAGTGGTAGTTCTCGTTAAAGGTCTGGTAAAATTCATGAATCTGTGTAGTCCTAAGACAATTACTAAAGAAATTCTTTATTGCTTCTTCAAATGTATTGCTTATTATTTTTTTAAGATACACATTTTATTCTCAGAATTAAACCTCCTATATCATGTATCCAGGTTTGTTAATAAACCTTTAAATTTTTCTTCTATCAGCAAACTAATAAGTTGGAGAATATGAATTCATTCACTTCCCAAAATGTATTGCTTAATTTTGATCTGTTTAATTTTGGTAAATCACCTGTGTCTATTGATTTCTTTGGATCTTTTCTAGGTTTTTTTTTTTTTTTTGGTGTATTGTTTAAAAATATTTCCTGAATTTCATTTTTTTGTATTATCTCCCTTTTTGTCTCTAATTTTATTTAAATCTCTTTCTTCTGGACAGTCTTGCTAAGGAATTATCAATATGGCTTATCTTTTCAAAGAACAAACTTTATTTCATTGATTCTTTGTTTTTTAACCTGTATTAATTAATTCTATCATGGTGTTTATTATTTTCATCTACAGATTTTTCATCTGACTTCTTCTTGATTTCCTAAGATCTTGAAGTTTATCATATTATATATTTGAGATTATTCTGATTTTAATGTAGGCCTTCATAACTATAAAGTTACTATTTTTGCCAGTCCTGGGGCTTGAACTCAGAGCCTCGGTATTGTCCTGAGCTTGTTTTTTTTTTTTTCTTTCTTTCTTTTTCTCAAAGCTAGCACTCTACTACTTGAGCCACAGTGCCACTTGTGGCTTTTTCTGTTTTTGTGGTACTAAGAAATTGAATCTAGGGCTTCAGCCATGCTAGGCAAGCACTCTACCATTAAGCTACCTTCCCAGCCCTAAAGTTAAATTTAACACTGCCTTTTCTATGTCCCAAAGGTTCTGTTGAGTTTCTAATTTCCTTTTGCTTCTAAGAGTTTTACATTTGCTACCTGATTTCTTTATTGACCCACTGACCTGCAAGTGTGTTGTTTAATCTCCCTGTTTTTATGTATTTTTTGTAATTTCTCTTGTATTAATCTCTAATTTTATTCCATTATAACCTTTTAAAATACAGGAAATACTTTTTTTGTATTTAAGACTTGCTTAGAGGGAAGGGGGTGACATTGTCCAAAAAGAAATGTACTCATTACCTGACTTGCATAACTATAAACCCTCTGTCCATCACCTTTACAATTACAATAAAAAATAATAATTAAAAAAACTTGCTTTACAGCTTAAAAGGTGATCTGTTTTAAAGAATGACTTACGAGCTGCTGAGAAGAACATGTATTCCACAGCCATGGGATGAAATCCTTTGTTAGACGTCCATTTGATCTATGTTGTCATTTAACTCTTGCATTATTTTTCTTTTTTATCTGGATGATCTATTCATGAATTAATGATCTAGAGGTCACCTGTTATTATTATGTCTGGACTTGTCTGTCCCTTCATGTCCAGTAGTGTTTTATGAAATTAAGCTTGTTGACATTGAGTATAGTATCTTGTTTTGGGATTATTCTCTTTACCAATAAGCAGTAACTTTTTTTAACTTGTCTTTGACAATTTTAGCTTGAAGTCTGTGTTGTTATATATGAGTATAGTTACTCCTGCCTGCTTTGGATTTATGCTTTCTTGCTTAGTAATCATTATCTATCCTTTAAATTTTAGTTTATGTATGTGTCTTTGCTTGTAAGGTGTGTTTCATATAGACAAACAGTGGATCTTGTTTTTGATACAGTTGACTAGACTTTTTCTGTGTGTGTGTGTGTGTGTGTGTGTGTCTGTGTGTGTGCGTGCATGTGTGTGTGTGTGTGTGTGTGTGTGTGTGTGTGTGTGTGTGTGTGTGTTTTGCTGAGGCTTGAACTCAGAGCCTTTTAATTTCTGGCAAATTCTTTTCATATTTCTTTGATCTTTTTGTGCTTTTGAATAACTTTTCTACTGCATCTGTTCAGTCTTCAAGCCCAGAAATTTGGTATTTCATATCATTTACTACACTGGAGAGGCTTCCTACTTCACATTTTTTTTGTTGTTGTTGGTTGTGGGGCTTGAACTCTGGGCCCGGGCGCTGTCCCTGCACTCTTCAGCTCAAGGCGAGTGCTCTACCGCTTGAGCCACAGTACCACTTCTGGTTTTCTAGTGGCTTATTGGAGATCAGAGTCTCACGGGCTTTGAACCGTGATCTTCAGATCTCAGCCTCCTGAATAGGCAGGATTACAGGTGTGAGCCACCGGTGCCCGGCTCCTACTTTACCTTTTATCTCTTGGCCTTCAGTTTGATTATTTTTCAGGATTTTTGTCTCTTTATTGGGGTCCTTTTTCATTGCATTGACTTCCTTATTTCATTAATTTCTTTTTGTCTTCTTTGATTTCTTAGCTGTTTAACTGTATTCTCATTTTGTTGCTTAACTGTATAGTCCAGTTACCTCTTTATTTGCATTCACTTGGAATTTATTTAACTTTTAATCTGTGCTCTCATTTAATTTTTTTCTTTTTCTCTCACTTTCTCTTACTTTTTTTCATTTCTCTCTTCTCCCTTTCTTCCTCCCTCCCTTTCTTTCTTTTCTTTCTCTCTCCTCCCTTCCTCCCTCCCTTCCTCCCTCCCTTCCTCCTTCCCTCCCTTCTTCCCTCCCTCCTTCCTTCCCTCCTTCCTTCCTTCCTTCTTTCCTTCCTTCCTTTCTTT